GCCGACCCACCCACCCCCACTCCATCAGCACATTCCATCAGGGATGTGCTGAGCCACAGCCCCAGTTGCTGAGGTCCAGGTTGGGCATTTGCCTGCAGCACCTGGAATTTAATACACAGACCTGGGAGTCACCACTCAAAATGCTATTTACAGCTCAACTTGCACAGAGCGCAGAATGATTGCAGGTCTCATAACAAAATTATGTACCGCTGGCTTATTAATAAATCCCCCAGACGGCAACACCAGCTCGCTCAGCTCAGCGCCGAGGCCACCGCTGGCAGCGCGACGGCCCACGAGCCAGAGCCAGTGCACCCGGCCCAGAGATGCAGCACCAGAACTGGACCGGGGCCACTGCCCCGCGGGGGTCCCGCAGCACCACCTGCCTGTGCTGGCAGCAGCGACAGCAAACTTGCTTTTACGAAAATAGTCTGTCTTGGCCCTCTCCTACTCAGCAGCCTCCCCCCAGCCCCAGCAGATCAAACGCTACCTGGGCCCTCTTGCCCATCGTCCTCACCCAGAGCCCTGGGGTCTCACTTGGGGTGAGCCAGGACCCCCAGCAGCATCGCGGGTGCCCATGAGGGCAAGCAGCCAGGGACTGTCACAGGGCTGGAGGAGAAGGTCCCTCTGCCACCTTCCAGAGATGAGCTCCTGGTAAACTGTGAGCTAGAGGTGTGCCTGCAGGTGGGGGTCCCCATCCCTGCGTGACGGGGTCTCCAGCCACTGCTTCCTCCCAGCTGGAATACTCTGCTCAGGCTCCGCAAGAGCTGGAGGCAGAACTTGGTCACCAGCTCTTCCCAGAGCTCTACACCCTGGAGCTGCAGGGGGGAAGGAGCCTCTAAAGCCACAGCTCTAAGCACAGCCTTTCAGCCCTCCACCCACCACAGGCTCTGGCTCTCTGCAGGGTCTCACCCACCCTCCCCAGCGGTGCACAGCCCACCCACTCCTGGGGAGGCACCAGTTGCCCCCTGCAGCCCCAGAACTGGGTGCATCCTCCCAGCACAGGAGCCCAGGTCAAAGCTGCTGATGCTCTGGGGCAGCTGGGGCCACAATTATGTCACCCACTGTCCCCAGGAAGCCCTGCATTACCCACAGCAGCACTACCAGGCTCCCTGCTCCACAAACAGCCATGCCAGCAGCCCCAGCTCTATGGGCGTGCTCAGGGCTGGTGGTACAGCCTTGCTCATCAGGGGCCAACTGAGCTCACAGGTGGGGCGATCCCTCCTCAGGACCTGCTAACAAGCAGAAACCTGGCTTTGCCTGTGAGCAACACATGGTCTTCACCGTGAAAAATGAAAACTAAGCACAGCTGCCAAGGGTAGCAGAAGCTGTTCTGCAGATCAGGCTCTGCTAGACATCCATGAACATTAGCGTTATGAGCTGATGAAGAGGTAAATAATAAAGCTCTACAAAGCCTTCTATTTTTGTTTGAGGCATGGATAAACACTAGCACAGGCAAGAAGTGAAAACCAGTACATTTTGCACTCTGGATTCATTCTACGGCAAATATTTTCTTTACAGAAGTCACTCAAGCTAAAGTAGTTAGCATAAAAGCACTATTTCTGCTTTACTGGTTAACAAATGGTTTTGCAATAGCCAAGGGCGTACTGGGTAGATATTGCAGAGGGGACGCAAGAGCAGCAAATCTGCAAGGTTACAGGATAGCAATGAGTTAAACAGTTCTGCAGCAGATCAGGAAAAAAGCCATCCCTGTTAGCCAGCCCCATTCATTGGTGAAGTTTCACAGGCCCTATGTGAAAGCACTAGCAACAGTATGCTGAATTTCCACAGTGTCTTTCATCACAAAGCCACCTACCCTGCCTGCTGGCGTTTGTAGCAGATGCTGATGTGTGGCCATTGCTGCTCTGTGAGGAAATGAGAAAGGAAAGATAGCAAGTGAAAAACCATGCAGTGTCCAATTGAAACCGCAGGAGGAATTACCTGGCCAAGAAAAATGAGGCAAAGTTGCAGGGGGAGAAGAGTCAGGAGATATTTAATGGCCCAGACTGACTGTCTGATACAGCATCAGAAATAATAGCACATCCAGCCCACAGAAATGCCATGCTGGGGTATGGGGCTCATCAGTGACACAGAGGGAGGTACGTCATCTGCACTCTGTCACAGGAATAAATCTTTCCAAAAAGGCCAAATGACTTAATAAGTCTTGGGTCCTTCTCTGTACCAGCTCTTTGGCTGCCCAGTGTCAAATCTGTTCCTGAAAACAAGCGGTGTATGTGGGTGCTGAGATCCGTCACGCCTCGCCTTGCACCGGCACAGTGCGGCGATGTGACAGCACACCTTGGGAAATTGTATTGCCACTACACAGCCCCAGCTGTGGATATTGCAAGTGCTCAAACAACGTGGGAAACAAAAGCAGTGGGAGCTGGTGCATCTGCAACGGCACATGGTGATGCACATGGTGATGCGTGTGGTGAGGCATGTGGTGAGGTGCACGGTGAGGTTCTTGGCAAGGTTCGCGGTGAGGTGCACCGTGGGGCATGTGGTACACAGGCCCAGCAGTCACCACCCGCTGCCTCAGGGAGCTCAGCATCCTCTCCCTGCCGGGCCCGCAGCCCCACCAGCCCCTTCACGGTTTAAGGTGACTCTGCAGAAAACGAGATGCTGAAACCACACGTCTTTTTTCCATCTAGTCATCTGTTTCTTGCAAACGATGGTCGCAGTGGTGCCAGGACAGCCAGGCTGGCTGGAAATGCCACGGGCAGGATAGCAGCCCCCAGCGCAGTCAGGGCAGGGACTGGCTGGTGTTTCTGCCCCAGTACAGCCCCTCTGGGCACAGGAGGGGCATGAGGAGCCTGTGCCTCGTTGCAGACTTCCATAGGCCATTAATATTTATGTCAATAAGTATAATGGGAACGTGGATACTGCCTGGGTAATAAAGCAGAGTTACTGAAGTGCTGCACAGCAGGTGACAAGGTTTTGGAGACAGATCCCCTTTATTTCTCTCATAAATCACCCCCTCCCTGGTTCCGGCTGGTGCCAGCCCCGGGGAGCTGCACCACGTCCCAGTGCCCAGGTCACCTGAAGCCATCGGGCCATCTGCCGCCGGGCAGGACCGCGTGTGGGTGCCGGCGCCTGTGCCTGGGCTGCCCACGGGCGCTGTGCCAGGGCGAGCGACTCACCTCCGGGCACCAGCACGGTCCCCAGGGGCGCTGCCTGCCCTGCTGCCAGCAGGTCCCACAGCCCCGGCAGCGCCGGGGCACGGACCGCTTACTGCTCCGCGAGGAGGAGCGAGCAACACCTGGTGACCTGTTGGGGTGCAGAGGAGCCACAGAGCATCCCTCTGCAAGTTGTATATATTCTTTAACTGCGGGTTTAATTAAATAGAATACTTGTGTTTTATATTAAAATCACACAGCATCTGACCGTTTAAAAGACATATATTGGAGCCCACCAGCAGGGGAACGGCTGCAGAGCTGTTCTGTAGATCAGCATCCAAGAGAAAACGCTGCTAAATTTCTCTGAGGCCTTTCCAAACGACCCTCCTGGGACCGACAGCCTGGTGCTGCTGTGCAAAGAGAAATGGGTCAGAGCCATCGGGTTTGAGGTTAAATATTACTTTATTGCTCACCATGAATATATGGAGGCTGCTGGCAAGTAGAGGGGAGGCAGGGCCAGGCTGCCAGGTTGCTGTCTCGGTGCGTTTGCCACGGTGCCCTCAGCGCTGGGAGCACGATGGATTATTTCCTGAGCTCCACTTATTATTCCCAGCACTGCTCTCCTGTCTCTCCTCCCAGTGGAAAGCTGCCGTGGGCTCTGCCCTCACCAGACAGTGGCTCCCCGAGATGCCAGTGCCTTGGCGGGGGCACGGCCGGGCCCTACGCAGGGTCCTGCAGCTGGTAGGAGCCGCTGCACCCGCGCCCCACGGAGAAGCCGAGGCTGCGGCTGCAGCCACGTCTGGGAGCAGCTCCCTGAGCTCAGCTGCTGTGTCCGACAGTCCCACAGAGCTGCTGGTCTCTCTGGAGGTTAAAAAACCCCAAACCCTGAAATACAGCAGGTTGGGGCAGCAACAGGTACTCGCTGGGAGTGATGCTGCAGCAGTTGGCGAGCTGGCTGGCCCATTGTGCTGCACGAACCAGCAGCGCGGTGCTGGGTCGTGGTCCTGGTGCCCCTGGCAGCGCCTCCGTAAGGCAGCCCCGGGGTTAGCTAGTCATGGGGTTCAGCTTTTAGCCCTCCAAACAACTGCTGTGTTCATTAAAATGGTGAAAGGAACCTTGTGGTAAGGCCTGAATGTTAAATCCCCAGCAGGGTGAGCAGGTCCAAATGAAGATGCTGTTGGCAGGAATGGGTCATACTGGAGCCTGGGCTGGGCATCCCTTATTGGTGGGTGAAGCAGGGCTGAAAGATTAATGTGCTTTTCCAAATTCCTTTTCTTCTGGCCTGTGCTAGCATTGCATTGTTCAGAGGGAATGGCACGGCTTTGTTCTGGTGTTCTGGCAGGAGGCGAGGAGCATTCCCAGAGCAAAACCGACCCGAACACGGCGGGTACCCAGGGAAGGGGTCTCAGCTGGTGAGCAGGCACGGAGCTGGTGGATGGAACCATCTGGGCCAGTCAGGGAGATGCCAGCCCCAGTTAGCACCCGTCATCTCCTGCCACCCACCCCGCACCCCCGTCCCTGCTCCCAGCTGCCAGGCCCCAGCCCTGCGCAGGGACCGCGACGAGTCCTCGGGCGCGAGGGCACCCGGCCGCAGCGGGGATGGACCGCTGCCCTGCCAGGTGTAAACGCCACGGGCACAGCTTGCTCCCCTCGCCCACCCCACGGTCCCCGCAGAGCTGGGACGGATGCAGGTGATGCAAGTGGCGTTCCCGTTTTAAGCGCAGAGGAACCTCATAGAGGTGTGGGGCGGAGAGGGAAAGGCTGGTGGCATCCCACTGCCCCAGAGCATCTCTAAGGTGAGCAGTGGTTGGCTGGTGGAAAAAAGAGGCAATTGAAATAAATCCTAAAAAAAAAAAAAGAAAGAAAGAAAGAAATCCAACTCTATAGCACAGATTTCAAATTATTTATTTTTAACATTCCTTTTGAAATACATGTCTACGATTGTGCTCACTTTAGAAATGGTACATGCGCAAATACCCTGTTCTCAGAACAGAAGTTACCAGGTTGGGCATTCTCACGCACAAAATGCACGACACTGAATGGCAACAGAGAGGACTGTACAAAACCCCCTAAACACAAATCACAGCATGTGCGATTCACATCTGTCAAGTGACAGTTCCAATTTTCTGTCCAATGCAAAACAGAAAGCGTATTTCAAATCCTGTGAAATTAGGTAATGGTTGTAACAGTATTTAAAGCTCCCAAATTTGAAATAATACATGAGGTTTATACTTTATTGTACAGGTACTTACTACCTTTTCCCTCCAAACTTTCTAATTTGTTGCCATAATTACGTTAAACTGAAGCTGATTTTTTTTTCCAGTCCACATATAGCTTGAAGCTTATTGTTCCTGTTTCAGACCTAAAGAAGAATCTGCGTGCCCTAAAGCTTGTCCATTTTCTAACTATATTGGATACTCTAATAAAAAAGCAGTACATTTCACTATAAACTTGAATTAGCCTATATCCTCAGATCATCACTACTGCAACACTAATACTAAATTACACAGAACCGATTATGATGGTGAAAGTCAACAGGAGCTCATCACTGTCGCTGTGATTACAGCCCGAAGGAAACCGCTAAGTGGAAACCCGTGTCCCAAAGGCAGCCGCGCATCTGCCGGGCAGCGCCGCCCCGGCTCCCGCCGGGTTCATTTCTGGGCTCGCTGTGCTCGGTGGCCGGCACAGGGTCACCTCTGGCCGGGGCGGGGGCGCGGGCAGGTCGGATCCGAGCAGCAGGAGGTGGCTGGGCCCCGGCAGCATCCCGGGGGCCCGCACGGCGTGTTGTCCCTCGCCGGAGGAGCGGAGTGGGCTTGCAGCACCGCAGGCTGTTCCGAGCGCGGAGCCACGGGCGGGGACAGTCACCGGCTGGTCCCTTCCCCGCCTTGCGTGGCCACGCAGCCCAGCTCCGAAGGCTTCGTGTAGCAGCCCCAGGAAGCCACGCTCAGCATCTGGCCCTGCTGCTGTTGCACCTCTGCCGCACTGCGCCGGGCCGCGCCGCTGCCCTTCCCAGCAGCCGTGCCAAAAACAGCCGGCGCACTTCCCGCAGCCCAAGTGTGAAACAGCAGAGATCCTGTGGGCAACATCTTTGGATCAAGCAGTATTTTAGTAGCATCCTGTCCTCCTAAACAAATCAAAAGAACCCCCCCCCCCCCCAGTGCCAAAGCTGGGAGGGCTTCCTCGAGCCAGTCCCAGCTCTGCTGGGCCACAGGCTGGTTGGGGTTGGAAGGGAGACAACTCCTCACCTCTGGAGACAACTTGTCCAGCCCCTGCCCAGGCAGAGCCACCTCGAGCCGGCTGCCCCGAGGGCTTCTGAACATCTCCAGGGATGGAGACTCCACCAGCTCCCTGGGCAACCTGCATTACTGCTGAGTGGGGACTTTGTGGTGGGAGTGAAGACTGTTCTCCGAGACTAGGCTGGGATGCCTGCCTTCAGCATCCTTCAAAAGAAAAGTGTTATACAAGTGCAAGCGATTACCTGCTGTCCATGTCTGCAGGACCTTGGCAGATGTGCTGGGGAAGGGCTCTGGGCCAGGCCCCTGCCCCGGGGACCGACGGTGGCTTTATGTCAGCTCAGCATCTCACCGGTGAGCACGGAGGGGTGCGTGGGCTGCCCGGCCCTCCGCAGAGCCCACTCCTAGAAAACACCAGCAGGGTCCTACCCAAGTAGTGTTGGGGAAAGGCTGAAACCAGGGTATTTGGACAAGGAAATAAAAAGGCCTTTGGTCACAAGTCTGTGATTTTTGCCTTCTCGATTTCAGAGCTTGTAGGCACTTACTGGTAAGTGGCCACAGATGTAATGTTCAGGACAACATTCAAAATAAAGATGAGTTTTTCAGGACAACATTCAAAATAAAGATGAGTTTTGCCAAAGTGCTGGTTCATGCTGGTAAAGCAGGGCTTGTCTGCTTTTTTTCGTGCAAATGATTTAATAGCTTGGCTTAAGGAGCTTTCCAGGCCACATCAGTGCCTGCTGGGCTGTATGAGAGACTTCAGTGATTTATACTGCCCTGCTCGTCAACCATTATTCAATGCCCACTGAGTAGAATCACTAGAAAAGGGTATGTCATAACGCCTTTTAGCTCTATTCTGTACGGGTTTAGCTCAGTGGTGATTTTGGTTTCCTGTACAAGTGGCTTTGCTTTAGCTCTTGCCAGCAGAGAAAGCATACCTGTCCTCCCTTTTATGTTGCCTTTTCCTATTTGACGCAGTGGTGTAACATACGACAAATGACCATCTAATTCCATGGTCTTGTCCCAGGCGGTGGATCCCGAAGTCAGTGCCGCACCAGCACCCCCAGCATCGCCAGGGCTGGGGACCGGGCTGCGCTGCGAGCACCGGATGGCTCGAGCACCCACAGCTTCATGCACTGAACTGCTGCCAGGGGACCCCTCCGTGATCGGTCCGCGCGGGACCCCCGGGCTCGGGGTACAGAAGCTGTCTGGCTGCACCAAGATCCACCCGGGATCCAGACAGAATCTTGCAGAACATTGGCCCTTGCCTCTGCCCGAGTCAAGGCAAAACTGAACCTGAGAATTTGGAGATAGGGGGAAATTGTTGGGGGTTTTTCTTTTTTTTATTTTAAATTGGTATTGCCTTTTTACTGAGATTCATTTTAATGCATCACCACACTAATGAACTAAAAATCTGCATTATAAAGTGACTGATGGGGGGGAAGAAATTGAGACAGCACTACCTGGCGATTTACAGATGCACGATCTAAGCTGCACTAGGCCAGACTTCTAAAGGTGCATGCTGCTTAAACCTGCAGAAACAGTGGAAGGCATAGACTTGAGCAGTGTCTGTGCCTCACGCTGCTTTCAAGGGCAGGCTCAAGGAAGAATCCACAGTGGTACCTATTAAAACAGGAGCCTCCTTCCTGGCAGCCTAAACCAAAATGCCCAGTGGCACAAACATCTCAGACTTTGTGCTCTGCAAGGCCAGACATAAAGGAAGCATCCTTGCAGAGTCCATCTGAGGGCCCCACTCATCCCTGGCACTGCACCATCATATTCCTGGCACTAGCAAAGTTGCTTTTTCATTATTTAATACTGTGCACCTGCTAAATTCCACATTCCCTAACAAAGATAATAATTTCCTCATTAAGAGAAGCTATTGAATCAATAGCACAGAGCTGTGGGTGAATTGAGGTCATTCGTCTCTTAAGGCCAGAACTAGTCTCATTAAAAAGTATGTGAGAGTAGGACTTTACAGAAGATGCTATTCTGAACCAGCTTTTCACTATTTCTCCCTTTCTGGGTATAAAGGCTTGTTCTCATCTATTTCTGAATGCCAGCTATCTCCCGGCCTTTGAAGAATTCCCTTCCAACCCCAAGGTGATCACCTCACCTCACAGAGCAGCATTTTCCCACCGCAGCCCACCTGCGCCGAGCCTAGCGATTGCAGTGGGACGGGCATTTTTCTCCAGCCAGGGGAGCTGCCCCTGCCCCAGCGGGACCAGGGCACAGCCAGGACAGACGGACAGCGCGGGTTGGGCTGTGCCGTGGCCTCAGGAGATGCTGCGGGGTCAGGCAGCCTGGGGCTGCTCTACCTCCCCCCCGCCTGGCGAGGGTCCCGCTCCCAGCACCTCAGAGGTGCGGAGTGGGAGTGCGGATGGACTGAAGCCCCTGTCAGACTCGGGCCCATGGCAAACCTCCACTCGTGACCGTGCCACTCGGCCGGCCCCCCGTGGGGCCAGAGCCCACCACCGGTGCTAACTGGAGAGGATGCTTCCTCAGCCAGGTGAGGTGGGTCGTGGCTCTGGCGCCTGTCTCTCATGCCACTGAGGGCCGAGGGCTGCCATGTCCTACAAAAAATAAATTAAGGTTAGCCTGGGTATTTGTTGCCTTGGGCTGACAAGGTGCAAACCAGCTTTTTTGTATTTTCACCATAACATTATTGCTATTGTTACAGGTCATAGTGATGCAGTAAGAGGCAAGCTGCCAAACTGACACATTTTTTGATTCAAGCAATTTCTTAACACATTAACTTGTAGGAGGCTTTGTGCTTTGGAGACTATAGCCCTCATTTCCAGGAGTGAGAAAAATCACACAATAGGGGCCTGACTAAAGGGCTAAAGAACTGTTTAAAATATTGTTAGATTTTCTGATGACATAAAGGCTTTCCACAAGAATTCAGTGTGTACTAACAAAGAGCCACTGTTGTCAAATACTGAATTTGAACTCATTCAGTTATTTACATTTACTATGACAACAACTATGATTATATAAATGGATTGAAGCTCTGGAGTGAAACATTCATCCCACACTTTTGCTTGGTCTCATTCCTCCAGCCACTTCATCGCAAATGCTCACAGGCTTTTTATCCACGTCATACTGTTCCTTTTGTCCTGCTGCAGAAGCTGCAGACTGATTTCAGATTAGCAGCCACGCTTCTTTTCTTCTGGAGCTGGTGTGATTGAAAACCTCTAGTTCTGCTGCCTCCCTGCTCACAGATCGGAGAGGTTCCTCTTTCAAAATATTGTCACTCAATATTTATGTAGAGTTTACACAAGCGGTGCCTGTCCTGGTCTCCAGTCACGTGCCTGCTGCTGGCATTTTGCACAGCAGACGGGGATGCTCTGGAGAGGACGGACAGTGGCTTTCCCCATCTTCTGCCCTGCCCCTTCCAGAGCAACAGGAGCCAGGAGCAGGGGGACCCCCTTTCCTGCTGCAGCAGCTTGGTGCTCCCCCCCTTGCTCCTCATCCAGATCAGCAATGAATCTTTGTTGGCAGAGGAGACTGGAGAAAAAAGTACATATATCTCCCCATTCTCCTTTCCAAATAACCCTTTACCGTCGGTGTCCTTTGATGCCAGATTAGGAAAGCATGCTTAAGATTTAGTGATGCTAAACCTGAACTTGACTTAAGGCTGCCTCTACCTCTCCAGCAGCACTCAGCATGCTCCCCACCACCCACCCTTGCTGCCCAACAGGTTTTGCTTCTCCTCCAGCCCCCTTCTCTGGTAGGGAGCTACGACAGCAATTAGTGGAGCCTGGCAGGCGGGGATGTGCTTTTTCCTCTAGAATTTTTTTTTTTGTTTCCCATTTCTTTAGTTTCTCTTTTCATCTGTCTCCTTTCAGTCTTGGCTCTTTGCCTCCAGGCCATTTTCCTCCTGAGACACGGGGGAGGGAAAGTGGAGTGCAAAACCAGAGCACAGAAAATCACCTCCCAAAGCTGAAAGCCGGGAGAGGCCGGGGAAGTGGCTGTGCAGAAGGTCTGTGCATCTGAAACAGCAGGAAAAAGTCAAGGAAAGGGAGAAGCAGAATGAATACAGGATAAATAATCTCCCCTTGCTGTGATCTGCAGAAAAGCTGTGGCGGTGATTTGGGATTAAGCACGGACAGCAAGGGTTGTGAATTGGAAGCCCACGGAGCTCAGCTGCTAAATTGCACACCAAAACATCACCCCTTCCCTCTGCCCGAGGACGCGGGACGAGAGCACTGCTGCTTCTGCGCTCGAACAAAGGGGAGGAGTAGAAACCACTGCCAGCACGAGGAGCTTGTACTCGGGGTTTGTTCTGAGCAGTGCCACGAGCCCTCACTCCTCACGCTCCTCCCTGCACAGGGCCACGCTCTGCCCACTCCCGGTGCCCCCCAGCACCACCGCTGCTGTACGGGCTGCGAGCGACGGCGCCGCTGCTGCGCCCCACTCGTGGCACTGGGCTGATGAAGCCAACACTTGTGTCAGCTGTGAAAAACCAGCCAAAATCTGGAGAGTGAGCTCTGCCATTGTTATTTACTGGCATTTTAATTATTCTGCTAGGGTCAGCTCCAATAAATGGGCTCCTAGACTGGGTCAACCTTTTGCTGTCTAAGAAGTCAAAAACACCCAGTAAAAATGTGATATTTAGGCTAGCTTAGAGCTGTCACAACAGGCACAAAATCTTGTCTTATTCTCCTGTTAAATGATCCTTGTTCTAAGGGGAAAAAAAAAAAAAAAAGAAGGATTAATGAATGCATCCATATGAGCTATTAAGAGAAAAATAAAGGCAGAGATAAAGAAAGATAGAGGCAGAGAATGGTAGATCCTAAACATGTGTTTTCTGCAATTTCATTTTTTATACAATAGATGCAGTTTCTTTCTTTCCTCAGACTGGAAAGATAGGCTTGACAACCATCTCATCAACAGCGGCATATAATACCGTCTCCTTGCTATTAACATGCAAATTGAAATGCACACGCTGATTAAAAACATATTAGACAAAGGCTATTGTCAAAGACCCAAGAGCACGCTGCAAGGCCCGATTAGCGAGCAGCGGCCCGCGGAGGGGGTGCTGCTCAAACTGCTGCCTCTGAAGCACTGGCACGGCAAACCCAGCCCGCACCACCACCACCCAGGCGAGCGAGCTGCTACCATCCCCGCTGCTCCCGCCCAAGCAAAGTCTCCAGGAAAGCGTCTGCAAAGAGTCCTCCGGGGCAGGCTTCTCACAGACACTGCTAAAAATTCACCCAGCTCTGCATTTCGGCTCAGGGCGGGCTGCAGGCACCAGCCCTGCTCGGGTACCTGCTCTGCTGGCGCCAAGCCGCGTCCCCCCCGCCGCAGCTGGGGACCTGCAGCTCCCCCCCGCCTTTACTGGGGAGCACTGGCTGCGGCAGCTCCCACCAGTCTGCTGGAGGAACGGCTGGGGGGACAGACGGAGCTTAACGGCAGCTCCAGGACCAGTGGGTGGGGGATGTGGGGGTGTGGGGACCAGCTGAGGCTGGCTGGGGTCATTAAAGACCCTGGTGCAATTAAGGCTCTCCCATGTGTTGTACTGACGACGTTAAGCATGCTCCTTCACCAGACAGCGTGTGATAATAGGCCCATCAAAGACAGTATGGGATTGATTACTTGTAAGGCTTCGCATCTGTGGTCACCACATCGAAGCGGGGTGAGAGGGAACACGACCATCATGGAGAGATGTCCAGGATAACTGTTCAGCGTCAGCTGCTCACGTTCTGCCCCGTGCCTTTAGCAAAACCCCAGTCTGCAGCCCCTCTGTTGAAGGATACGGAATGAGGTCCTGGCAGTAGTACAAGCCGGCTGCACTCAGAGATGATTTTTAGTAGTACTGGCAGGATTATGAGATGCACAAAGGTGCTGGGGAAATAAGAATATGATATAGAGAAGGAATTTTATAGAATTTTCTTTAGATCTCCTGTGACTTAGGGTTCAAGTAATATGTAAGAAAGCAGTGTAAAAGTGCAATACATTGTTCTGGCTTGAAAAGATCTGCAGCTGTCTCCCAACCCAGCTCCTTAAAGCCAGGAGAACACAGCAAAGATAAACATCACTGGGTCAACAGGACCAGCTCCATCATCCCTATTCTGACACTGGAAATGGAAATTAGACTAGAAAATTTATCCTAAAGTCTTGCAGTTGAGCTCAGTGCAGTAATTTAAGTGAGGGACACTCTGCAATGTTAATGGATATTCGCCTTCTTTCTCTTGAGATCCCCAATGTTTAAGCACCATATTGGGTCCTCCCTACCTCACAGATCTGCCGCAGATCTGGAGATTCCCAGTAGCCCCTCACTGGTGGGAGAGGACTTTCAGCTGGCCACACACTTGAGGAGTTCAATGAACCCAGACAAGAGCAGAAAGCTGCTAGCACAGGCAGGAGGAGGAATGCAGACATCCACATACATAATTTGAAGATTATGGAAGGTGGTTTTAAAGGTCAGGACTTGCTAATTAAGTTGATGCAATAGGAACTTAACAAAGAAAGTACCACTTACGTACTGGGAGCATTCTTCTCCCGTGATTAATTTCTTTGTGTTAAGTAGCGTGTATCACGGTAGAGTCACTTTACACACTGTTGCCATAGAGCTCTATTGCCTTAGCACAAGAAGCCAGTTAAAAAACGTGTATTATTTGTGCTGTATTATGCCTGAGCATAAAACACTACAGTAAGTTAGCATCTCGCCTCCTGAAACGTAACCTAATGTAGTTGCACTAGAGACTGAAAAGGAGTATTAGTGTGTGCTACAAAACTCTAATGAAACACATCTAAAAGACTACAGTTTTTGGTGTTAATAATCACATTTCCAGCTGTCTCCCAGTGCCAGCAGTATTCCAGTTAGCACTGCTCCTTAGAAATGTGTGTGTTGCAAGACACAGCCAGACCGACACTTAATTATTGTAATTTACTTTCTTTACAGAATATCTTGCACAGAGTTTTAAGCTGGGAAAATGTTTGGCCAGAACAGACAAAATTAAATTCTGTAATTTATAGATGTTCTGCCTGAAAAATGCAGACGATGTTTTTAGGTTTTTTTAATGGAGAAAAATATATGCAAGTGTTTTCACCCTTCAATTTAAAGTAACCTTGGGGGATGCGATGGTTGCACTGCATCCATTTTCTAAGATCTCTAACTTATCTGCACACAACGTTTAAGCCTGGGTGGTGTACTAGTCTCAACATCAGAGAAGAGCACGCAATCTGAAGGCATTTCTGCAGGGATCACCGACTTACCACGAGGAGATTTGTCTTTTATGTCTTGCTTTGAAGGCCTAATGAACTTAGGAAAAGCAAGAGATTAGAAGGATTTAGGAACCAAAGCCTGATTGACTGGACCAGGACAATATTGGCAGCAGATGCAAATACTGTGCTGCTCTAGATACTCCAGTTTGAAACAGGACAGAGCAGAGGGGTGTGATGGGGCATCCCATTCCTGCCTCACACGCCTCTTGCTCAGCAGGGCTGGGTGGTGCGGGACGTGGCAGTCTCGCCCGCAGCGCTGACCCTCCTGCTCTTGCATACGCACATCTCTGCTCCGCCCCTGCAGTGTCACGGGTCAAGCCATCTACCTGAAAGCTGACAGAGTGGCATAAAAATCTAGATTTTTCTAAATTAGAGGCAGGTCCCCTGTCTTCGGCCATTCTCTTAGACCAAGCAAGCCACCAACTCCAGGCCAAGCTGGACAGCCGGGGGAGAGGGACAAACTGACTGGTACAGGCTGGGTATCGCACCGGCGTTCAACCCAGCTCACTGCAGCAGCATCAGAGCTGTCTACACACCTGCCTAGGGAAAGAAATTGTGTTTGTGCTGTAATTAATTTGCTGCAATTAGCTTGTAATGATTAGTTGAACACACAAGTTGGAAGATTCTTTTTTTCCCTCTCCTGATAAAATCACCTCTGCAGCACCCTGGGTGCAGCTTGGAGGAAGGAGCATAGGCTGCGGGAAGGAAGAATTTGGAGGGAAGAAGGCTCAAAAAAGCCAGGCTGCATACACATGAATGATGTGCCCTATTTCTGTAAATCATTCTCTCTGTAAAGAGGCAGTTTAGCTTCAGAAACACTGGTGTCTCATGTTATTACCCAAAACACAATAAATGAAACAGCCCCACAGCTATGAAACCTAAGGAGATGCTTACTCATCTGTGAACAACCCATTCTCCTCCACACATGAAAGGCATTGATGCAAGAGCACAAATTAATCATGTAGAGCTTCTATCAGTATCTTTTAGCATCCCCAAAGAGTAAACAACCAGATTCTGCAGTGCATCCAACCCTTCCCTTCGCAGGACTGAGGGCACAAGCACACCCGCAGCCCAGCTGGGGCCCAGGCTCCCACGAGCCGAGCTCCAGGCAGTCTCCGGGAGAGCAAAGGTCTCTCTTCCAACTCAGTTCCTTCTCTCTGATAAGATCCCCTTAGCAAGGCAGAGGAAATGAGACGCTGCAGGCTGGTGCACTGCGAAGTACAGACCCGGAGCGCAGTGCAGGGGACGGCTCCATTTTGCAGGCACCTCCCTGCTGCCACGAGCTTTCAGACGGGAGAAAGCTGTAGGTACAGGAGCCTCTGCAATGTGGTAGATAAAAACAATGCAAGTATTATATGTGAGCATATGCGAAGAGATGCACACAAGTTACCTCACTTGTATATAAAATAGTTTTTAAACATGTAACATGAAATCAACAAGCCCTAGCAAAGAAGAGGCGAGAGCACTGAAGGAACAAGGCTTTGTAATGAGTTCCATGGGTTCCCACTCCCCCCCCAGCAATATAAGGGAGAAGGTGAAGGGAAAAATCACTTCCAGACAGACTGTACACTGGAAGCATTCATAATTTACTTCATTTGTCCCTTTTGTAAGCAGAAGATATTCTTCAAGGGTGTAACAGCATCCTGTACATCTATTTGAAACAAACCTCAGCAGTGGTCTGAGTTTGTGCCTACTGCTCTCAGGGGTTACATGGCCAAAGCTCTGCAAGTGTCCGCTGGGCCACAAACTGCCCCCACTCACCATGCACATGAGCAGGAAGAGTTTTCAAAGCATCAAACACTAACTTTAAATAGGACTGGTTCTTCTTTCTCTTCCCCTATACCACTTAAGCTAAACTAGGCACAAACTAAGCACATGGGTCGGGGCAATCCCCAGCACAGACCCAGGCTGGGCCCTCGAGGAGTGGCTGGAGAGCAGCCCCGAGGAGAGGGACTGGGGGGGGGAAAACTGCCCGTGAGGCAGCCCCGTGCGCTGGCAGCCCAGAACCCACCCGTGCCCTGGGCTGCAGCCAGAGCAGGGGGGGCAGCAGGGCCAGGGGGGGGGATTCTCCCCCTCTGCTCCGCTCTGGGGAGACCCCCCTGCAGTGCTGGGGCCAGCTCGGGGGCCCCCAACAGCAGAAGGACACAGAGCTGCTCGAGCGGGGCCAGAGGAGGCCACGGAGATGCTGGGGGGGCTGGAGCAGCTCCCCTGGGGGGCCGGGCTGAGAGAGTTGGGGGGGTTCAGCCTGGAGAAGAGAAGGCTCCGGGGAGCCCTTCGAGCGGCCTCCCAGGGCTTAAAGGGGGGGCAGGAAAGGTGGGGGGGGACTCTGGATCCGGTGATGTAGGGATAGGATGAGGGGTGACAGTTTTGAACTGAGAGAGGGTCAGTTTACATGAGATCTAAGGAATAAATTTATGGTGAGGGTGGTGAGGCACCGGCCCAGGTGCCCAGAGCAGCTGTGGCTGCCCCCTCCCTGGAAGGGTTCAAGGCCAGGTTGGACGGGGCTGGGAGCCCCCTGGGCTGGGGGAAGGGGGCCCTGCTCGGGGTGGGGGGGTGGAACTGGGTGATCTTTAAGGTCCCTTCCACCTCAAACCATCCTGTGATTCATTCTATGATATGATTCTATGAAAACGCAACAGGAAAGATTTTCAAGGCAGATAAAGACAGTTAGGCAAACTTTAAAATTCAATGTGAGTTTTGTGTATCTGTCTCCTACCCGTCACAGCTCAAACATATGAGTTAGAGACTTTGCCCCACATTGTCTGTAACCTCTGTCATCACACATGATGATATTCATATTCATTTCACCAAATATGAAGATGACTAATAGGATTGCTCTGTTCCATCAAGTCAATTAGCCCAGCTATTATACAGATGTAGCATGTCCCTTTGATTAAATGCCAAATGAAGATAAAGCACTGAACATTGCCTAATAAGTATATTTGCCAACAGATTTCATATGTTATGGCAAAAAAACCCAAAACCCAAATCACAGGAGTCTCATTTCTTCTTAGACTGGAAGGGGTCTAGTCTTCACTGCTGGCAGGCAACATCACATGGGCTTCTGTGGAGCAACATTTATTATTGATCTTCCTCCTTAGTTAGGAGAATTATTTCTTTTCTCTCCTGAAGATTTGGAAAGAGTCTTTTAAAAATAAACCTGATCAGTTTGGGCTTTTAATTGCCTTTTGAAGGTAAAAGAATCATTTCCACTGGCAAAAATAGGTTTGCTTCATTAAAAGGGTGACTATAGCAGCGAGGTAGTGAGGGATTTCAGAGTCCCAGATGAGACGGTAATTAAGAAGCCAGTTACACAACATTATCACTGTGAAGGAAAGCCAAAGCAGCTTTCCATGGCACTGCTGCCTGCGGTGCATCCCAGAGCTGCGGCAGCACTGCTCCGCTCCAGCCGGCCACAGAAGATGAAGTTCTTCCCACGGTAGGGAAAGAGATGAAAAACAGAACCCTGTCAGCAGCAGATTAAGACTATTTTTCTTCCTCTGGCAGCACAAGGTCCTCTCCATGAAAAGCCTGCTCCCGCCTCATCCCATGGCTCATTTACAAGTAGAATTGCTTGTGCTGACCTAGTCCTGCAGGTACGAGCACTGGCTTCAAGACAATTACTTTTTAGCATGTGCTTCCTTGTGACTTAATGACTTTAAATACTGCCCTTCCCCAAAATATGGTTCAGCATCGGCTTACAATGAAGCTGCCTTGATTCCACATGCACATCTGCCACTCAAGACTGCTCTGCTGTACAAACCCTTTGGATGTTGCTTCCTTCAAGGTGAGATAGATCAAGGTTACTGAGCAGAGCCTACAGCATCCTCTGCTACAGAGCGTGGTAACTTACTGGCTATCACATTACAAATATACAATAATGATTCTATGAACATATAAAATTACATTTGCATCACAACTGCAGTTTTCCAAGTGATGTGACTAATCATCTCTCATCTGAAACATACAGCGCTACTCAACACCAAAATGCAGAGCAATACGCTTTGCTTTGCTTTGGTTTATTAAGGTGCAGAAAAGCGGATGGAGGACACAGATTAATCATCTATGTATGATTTGTTCACTTGGCAGAAAATTCACAAACCTGCAGTCCACAGCCGTGAGCTGTGGATTAAATTAAAAGTGTCCCCGATGCAGAGCCCGTAGCAGCAGGTCACTGCTCTTCCTTGAGACGCTGGAGAAGTGGATTTGCACCTTGCTGGGATTCCTGGTATATGAACTGATGGATACGTACATGTCACTGCTCCGTTCCAAAGACATGAGAGAGCTTCTAGCCAAGTGTGCACAGAAAGGAACTGTCAAAGCCTGTTCTTTCAGAGATGCAGAAACAGGGAAATGGCCAGTCTCAGAAGAATTGTGCTGCTACACATGTATAAAACAACCAGAGTGCTCCTTAAAAAGGTGGTGCTTAATCTCTAGCAGCATTCACAAGGCAGGTTCTCTGCATGCAAAGTGCACTCACCGAGCCTGTGTAACAGGGCACAGCGAGGTTTGCTTTGCATTGCTCATGGTGCCTGCGTGAAACCGGATCATTTATTGGAGCTCTTTGCATTGCAGCGGGTTTGGTGAGAAACCTGGTCTCTTTGTGCTGACTGCAGTAGAAAAACTAAAATCCTTGTGAGCTCCCTCTTTCCAGTGGATAGAGATGCCTTTGTTTCTGCTTCCCCCAAAGCCAGGGAGCCCTTCCCTATAGATGAGCACCAGACTGCTACAGACGGGGACCAGGCTGGGGTCTGCACAACCAGCGTTCCTCTTGGACGGTTAAGGCTGGTTTTGGGTCAATTTTTTCTCCTTTCAAATCCTCTGAGCGTTGTCCTCCCTCTATGCGAGGACCCCCTGAGCCACAGTCTCTGCCACGGGGCCCCCGGCTGCGGAGCTGTTGGGTGGGGATGCTGCACGGTGGGAACCGGGCTGGAGGGGCTGCCAGAGACACCCGGCACTCGGGGGGGTCTCTGACACATCCAGCTCCGAACGCCCCCGAGGGCTGCCCCCGCTGAGCGCTTCCCCTCTCACCGTACAGGGCTTTCTGGGGCGGGGAAAGGCTTGGGCCCAAACCCTCCGCCCGGGCGGCGGGGAAGTGCCGGGGCTCGGCGGGACACCCGCGGCTCGGCGCGAGTGGCTGGGGCGGCCCCGCGGCCGCCAGCGCGGCTCCGGGAGCGCCGGACCCTCCGCCCCGGGGCACGGAGGACTCTGCCCCAGCGCCAAACCCACCGGGCTCGCTCTGCCGCGGCCACCAGCCCAGCACCCGTGGCACAGCGACGGCAGCTCCGGGGTCCGCGACCGTCGGCCTCGGTGTCCCGGGACCAGGCTCCGCCGTCCCCACGGCCGGTCCCGCCGCCGCTCCGCCGTCCCCACGGCCGGTCCCACGGCCGGTCCCGCCGCCGCTCCGCCGTCCCCACGGCCGGTCCCACCGCCGGTCCCACCGCCGCTCCGCCGTCCCCACGCTCGCAGCCGGTGCCGCCGGTGCGGGCTGGCCCGGTCCCGCCCGGTCCCGCCGTCCCCGCAGCGATCCCGGCGGGCCGCCCGCTCCCGGGAAGGGGCAGAGCAGCGTCTGGCTTGGGGTCGGCACCAGCAAAGTCGGTAAAGCGAGTGGTTCCCGTCCAGCCTGTAGGAATCCTACCGGCAGGAAAACGACTTTACGCTTTCATTTTAGTTTTCTTTGCTCAGTGAACCGTTTGTTTCTCTGAAGACAGAGAGGAAAGGAAAAGATTCATCCGTTACACAATCCCCGTGATTCACTTTTTGTTGCTCTTTATGTGTTGACACAAACCATGCTGGAGAAGGTGAAGAAAGTATGTTTATTTCTGATTGAAGACTGATTACATCACTATCATGGATAATGTAATAGAATAACTTTATACTCTTGGGAGAAATCTAAGAATAAATACGAAAAAGTAAAATATTTTGTTTCCACTGTCTCTGAAGATGAGTGATGATTAAGTGCTGTATTTACAGGATAGTTATCATACTCTTAGACTCTGTGCTGAATAAATATTATCTTGGAAGGGTAAAAAAATCCATTGAAATATTTTAACTCACCACAAAATTAAAAAAAAAAAATCCATGTATCTGTCCAAAGCGAAGGTTAGTTACATGTTAGTTATCGAATCCACACAGGATCACTGTCCGAGAAAGCATCCTCTCCTTGCTGACCAGCTCCTCTCCACAGAAGAGGCCTCAGTGGTTTTCCTTGTCTCGACCGACGAGCTGCTACTGGTTCTTCAGGCTGGAAGACAGAGACAAAGCAGAAGTCACTCTCCGCCCTGGGTTCCCAGGTCAGAGCTGGTTTCTGTGCACGTCCCGAGCTCTGCCCACGCGTCCCCGGAGCATCTCGCTCCCCTCCCCACCCCCCCAGCCTCCTTCAGCCCCCGGAGCTCCAGCGCGGACGGCAGATCCCAGGCGAACCCGTACTGGGGCAAACCTGCAACATTTCTGGTCACAAGTAAAGAAATTCTTTTGTGTGAGTGATGAGGAGACTTCATTTCTAAACAAATATATAAATAAACTCTTTCTACCTAAAGCATATTCGTAATTTTAAGGACAGTTTGGTATTTTATGAAAGAAAACTGCTGTGACAATTTGAAAAAAGCATAATTTCTTCAGGTCCTCAATTTATATTTGTTTAAGAGCCTACCAAACCTGCCTTGCTCATGACCCAACACATTTCTGGCCAAAGAGGAATTTCTCATTCAGCAAGCGCTGGCGATCTCAGGTTTACAGTTTGAAAAATCAGTCCAATATTTATGCTCTACATTAAAATAATTAATCTGTACACCCAACACCACAAAACAAGGTTGCATGAGCCTTTCTGGGGCTTTCAAATTATGATCAAAACAGAAGATATCAGAGATAGCTTTATTTTCACCTACGTTAAAAGGGAAGGGAGACAATTTAATCCTATAATGAGAGAAAGTATTACACACTCTCTCTTCACAGGCAGTGTAATTATTCAGCTGCTCTCTGGAACTGAAATAATGACAAATTAAAATGCCTTTCAATTCCATCTACCTTTTATAACTATTCATCTTCTGGAGTTATTATCACTCTAAAGACTTCTTTATATTTTAGGCATCAGCCACTATATATTACAGAAAGCACATGGAAATTGTTACCGCTACCCATAAAAGTTATAGTCATCAAGGTAAGGAAAAAGTCATTTGGCTTGGTTGTAAAGTACACAGTACAACTCAAGTATTTACTATAATTTCCTGATATTTATTGGAAATCTCACATCAAAAAGTGAATTCATTCTGGGTGAGGATGCGCAGGAGGGAGCTCAACCTCCCAGCTCCGGGAAGGGGCAAGAAAAGTCCAGGGGAAAGAGAAATAACATTCTGCATAAAATCTGACACAAACAAACTCAGGCCAGGGACCACCAACACCTTCCTCTCGTCCCGCTTCTTGGCACAGTAATGAACTTCCAGAGCCCCCGGAGCGGGGACAGGCACCAAGGGCACCCGAGGGGCACGGGCAGAGGGGGATCTGCCCCCCATTTGCTACCGGGGTACCACGACCAGGAGCACGCTTCAGCCACAGCAGCCTGGAATAGTTGTTTACACTTCCTTAAACGGACTGAAAAATGTATGGAAATGCAATCATGGTGAAGGGTGACATGTCTCCAGGCACGATATTTACAATATTTTGATTAGCTCCAATTCCTGAAGAGCCAAGCAGCTTATGTTAATAAATACCCTATTCCAATTAGACATCTGTGTTCTCAATCAGAAAAAAACCCGCACCGGCACCGAGCCTGCTGTCATTAGTTCCTCAGCAGCCCATTAATCATCTGGGCTTACACAGGGTGCACCCAATGAGTAGGTGAAGGCCTGTGCAGAAGGGTCTTCCGAGCACACCTTCCAAACTAGAAATGGCCAGGCTCAATCCCTAGCAATTCGTTTTGACTGAATACTGCACACCTGTGGTAGGTCGAATTGATTCTTACCCCAACAACAGCGGAAGGATTGGGTCCCCTCTCTGCAAAAATCCTAAAATGAATCAGAAAGCATGAGCTTGAAAGGGAAACCTGGATGTGTATTAGCATCTATGAATGTGTAAATGAGTGGTTATAAAACCCCAAAATACATTTGCGAGCTCTAAATGTGTCAGAGAGGTCTGGCTGATCAAAGAGACAAAATAAAGGCGAGAAGATAAAATTCTTCTTCATGGAAGTGGGAATCATTATCCCCATATAGTCAGACTCTTAATTACTAGGGCTGGATCTCAGCCTCCGATCGCTGACAGCCAGAATGGTGGAGGATAGCTCACAGCTCTTGCTATCCAGCACATTATTACAGCATTTGATATATTTGCAACCAGCCCAGAGATGGCACTTACATCAAATGTGGGTCTGGGCTCTGGTACTCTGCCAACAGCATCTTTGGTCCTTTCATCCGCGAGCCCCTGAGGAGCTACTTCAGAGCTGGCACTGGGCCCTCTGGTGCATCTTCCCCCAAACCAGCTCTGTTCTCCAGGACACAGAGATGAACACAGCACCCTGTCCCCAGCCCCACTGCCTGCATGTGCTAATTAAAGGAGGGAAGTGCTTTTTGCAACACCCTAAGTTAATATTGCACACCAGCATGTCTCTGACCCCAGAATTTAAATATCCTATGGCTTATTTCACAGCTACTCAGGGCTTAAATTCTCTGTTGTTCATTGCAAATTACTTTTAGCAGTGATTTTTCATCTTTACAGTTCACATAAACCAGAAAAGAGTGAAGTTTTGTTTCTTTCAGCCGGTAGCAAGCAGTGAGGAGGGAGGCTGGCATGTGAGCCTCTCTCAGTATTTCAGAGAGAACGTGTCCTCCCTTCCCACAGCTCCTCACCAGCCGGCGTTTCGGCTGCCACCAGTCCCTGCACAAACAGACACTGGTGCCAGCCGTGGGCCAGCCGGAGTGGGCACCAGCACCACTGCCTGCCTCGCACCTTGCTCGTCACTCTGCTGCTCCGCTGCTCCTCGCGGGGAGGAGGAACGGAGAAGGGGAGATTAAAAAAACCCACATCTATTTCTGGAAAGCAAGTCAAACAATGACTCAATCATCTCTACACAGTTCATAAATCCCTAATTAAAGGTTTAGTGCTCCTCCCCGCTGCAGATGTTCCAGAGTCCAGCCACATTTCACAACCTGCTTCTGTGCTGGCACACGTGCACGCAGCCACCAGCGTCGCTTATCAGGGCCCCGAGCTGGAGCTCTGCTTTCTGGCACATTTAAAAGCAGCCCGTGCTCTGGGGGAACACACATTCCCATCAGAGCTACGATGCACACTGCCTGACCCCTGACATAAACAGTCTGGGCGCCAGATTTGTGATGCCTTAAAAGAAATATTCTCCTGCATCTGACTCTTGCCCCAATTCCTGACGTTATGACAGGATAAAAAAAAGGAGGCATTTTTCCTTTATTTCCAAATATACGGCTTAAAGTATCTGAGCCCTGGAGAAGAAATGGGAGGTAGTAGACATTATCTTGCTTTGCATATTCATTGGCCAGGGGGATAAGGACTAGCTCAATATAAACTACCTCCTGCTGCATCTTTTACTCAACACCAAAATACCAGCCAGAAGTTTTCAGGCAAGGCCCTGAATTTCCTATAAACAAACAGCTAAGTTGACACCCCCCAAAGAAGAGCAGGTCAGCTGCAGGGCAGGCAGCCAAGAATTCCTGCCCTGCTGATGGAGCTCCAGCACTGCCAGTGCCCACGCTGAGAAGTGACGGGGGTCCCGATAACGTGGCCCGCGAAGCAGCAGCTCAAGGGCTGCTCTATGGTGGGTTATTTACAGCAACTCTAGCAGTGCCTCGGTTGTGTGCTGCTCTCTGGAGAGCTCTCAAAAACTATAATAAATATCCACAACTTGATTCATTCTTCATAAAAGTTCTTCTCTCCTAAAGCCGCTTTTCAGAAGATTCATCTCTCCGGCATTTTTTGGGTGCTACCAGCTTCCAGCCTGCAATCACCTTCCCTGCTCACCTGTCCCGGAACAAAATCCCTTTCCTTTACAAACTGCCCCCCGGCCCCTTTTTTTTTTTTTTTCTTTTTTTTTTTTTTTAAATTATATGAAGTATAACAGCCACATAAAATGTTTTGTTGCCTTAGCAACCGCAATCCACTGGCTTCAGCCTGAATTAGAAGGAAGAGGATGGTCTTGACACTAACCAACAATAATGAGAACAGCAAAAGCCAGCAGGCACACCAGTCGCTGAGGTGCGCGGGCGGGCTGCAGGAGGGGCAGTGCCCTCAGCTGGCACCCAGCGCAGCGCACATCTGCATCTGCTTCACTCTGCGCTTGAGAGCCAAGGTGCTGCACGCCCCGGCCTTGCTCTGGGACAGAGCGGCAGTGCAAACTCAGCAGAAGAACCAGGTCTGTATTTCAAAATTAATTTTCTTCGTATAGAAGAGGTAATTGCTTATAGAAAGCTACAGAACCACAGATGCAGCCCTGTCAAAATCTGTTGTGTTTCTGCTGCTCTGCACACCCCTCTGCGTTGGAAACAGGGCTGAGCTGGGTGCATGCGTACCTTCAGTCACTCGTACCATAGTCAAGACGGGATGTAGAATAACTTTTCACAATGTGTTCGTTTACAGCACTAGAAATGAAGATTTCTTTGTCTTCGTCTGCACTACAGATGATTTCTGTAGTCAAGAACACGAGCTGTATGAACTACTTTACCTTCCTAAATTCTTTTGCTACCTGCTATTACCACAAGCGCCCAACCTGAGCAGCTGGCTCTGTGCAAATATCATGTACAAAGTCATATCTGTGTACATGGCAAGTAGAAGAACTACAGTCATGAGAACCCCCCAGCTCGTGCTGGGCTTGCATCTCTGGGTCCAACCACGTTATCAGTGCACGTGGCTGGTACAGACCCCTTAGACCATGGGGGGAGAACTGTTTCAGGATAAAAGACATGAGTAGCTCATTCCCTCAGTCCCATGTAGAGGACAACAGATCTGCAAAATCAGCTTTAAACAAGGAGAGTAGAATCTGGTTACATAGTAATTACAGGGTGGGAAGAGCTTTTGTTGTGCACAAACCCAAGCTGCCAATCCATTGTCTCCCATGCTTCTGCACTTTCCTATAAGCGCTGGAGAGATCTGTGCTGTGCTCGGGTACTTAGCTTCAAAGAAAATTGTGTAAGAATGAACAATGGATGGAGGAAATAGAATAATCAGAGCAATTTCCCATAGAAATTGGTCAGACGAATGTCTCTAATTGGCATTCCATTATAACATTTGTAACATACTTTCTTTTGAATTTATTACTTTGTTTCCTCTTGCACTGAATGCCCATGAAGGACTCTCGGGACCAGATTTAAGTCATGATGAATAAAGGATAAGAAACTAAATTTAGAAAGACTGACAAGAATATTAATTTGCAGAAGAGGAAGGTCCTTAAAAAAAACCTGGGAGTCCTGCAGGCCCCTGCGCTACTCCAGTGTTCCCTGCACAGGCTGGCGTGACCCTCACCGAGATGGAGGAGCAATGGTCCTTCCTATCAGTAATTCCTGTGCTTTCGGAGCTCCGGAAAGCTCTGGGAACCACTGCGACTTCCACCGAGCCCGACACCAGAAATGCGCGATGCCGTTTGGCTTGCTGGCGTCCCCGGGAGAGGGGCCGGGACACCGGGGGCCTCCGCACCGCGCTGCCTGCTCCCGACCGCCCGTGAGCCCAGGACAGACCTGTCTGTACCCCACGGCTTCAGCACCAGCCCCCGCTCCCCGGCGCCTCTGCTCTGCAAGAGCCGCTCTCGCGAGTTGGAGCGGCTGCGGGAGGCTCTTCCTCTGAGCAGCAGCAATCCCTCCCGCCACGGAACGGGGTCCCAGCTTCCCCTCCTACAGCCTGGCCTCCTCCCGTGCAGGCTCAGTCGGGGAGCTGAGGCTCTTCTCCCCGACGGGCAGCGATAAATGAACGTGAATTCTTGTCTCAACTCCTGCTAATTCTTTACCCAGATATTCCCTTTAATCCTGAGCCCTGCAGTGAATATACTCCCTGTCAGGCTCCTACTCCAGCTACAGAACAAGAGGTGAAACAGAAAGATCTTCAGTCTTTGCAATTTTTGTCAGAGTAAGTTGGAAGAAAACATTTGGGAAAGCAATAGATGCAGAAGGAATTATCTTACTGCCTAAGTGTGGAGATGACACTGCTAATTGCAGGTGATTGAACAACAAAAGCAGAAGGTGTGGGTATAAAACAGAGGCTGTGAGGCACCCCCCCCCCCCAACACTGGAAAGAAGTAGCACATTTTTTCTGCACATCTCTATTTCCCATCAATGAGGCTGCTCTGATTTGAAAAGAACTCCTTTATCCTTCGCAATAATACCAGCAGCAACAACAACAATAATAACACAAACTCAGAAAGACTGGCAGGGGAAGGATAAATTACAGCTCTGTGCCCAGGCAGCACATCACAGCTGCTCTCGTTCCAGGTTTCCAGTGGGAAGAGCTGTCAGCTCTGTTTTCCAGCAGTGGGAATGTGCTGCACATGCTGACCCTGTCACTCCACCGTGTAACCTGGTCGAGCAGGGACACACCATCAGTCAGATGGGCTAAAAGAGAAAGGGAGATGGAGGCAGTAAAGGACCTACTGAAGGTCCCGGATTGCTTGTGGCACAGCCTAAACCTACGCCTGACTCGCCTGAGCCCAGCCCTCTCCTCCACAAAGCATCTAGGCTGGGAGGTGTCTGGGTCACCACGGCTGTGCAGCAACTGCCTCTCCTTCCACTTCACCCATCCTCTGCAAAGAGGGGGAGGGAGAACACCACCTCATTAGAAAGTCTGACACCATCAGTTCCTTCTGCTAATTGAGATCCTGAATATGACTACACGCTCAGGTCCAGGAAGGGTAACATTTGGAAGACATTCAAATACTCTGAATAAATAGGATAGCGGTAACATGAATAATACCAGGAATCTTTGAAGGTCTATCATCAGCTGGGGAAGGTCTGCGTTTATCCTTTGGTAGATTAAGCAAAATTAGACATTAGTACTTATTGCTGGTTCTGATCATCCTGCTTCATCTTTCAGACTGCCCTTAAAGCTACCTGGAGTATCTCAGTAACTAATGACACCTTTTATATCCCTCTTCTAATCTGGGCAGTCCTGAGTGCTTCAGCCTGAAACGGTTCCCAAAGCTCACATGTAAGTGTATTAAGAGAGATTAGTTCATTAATCTACTCTCTGGTACCATATATCTTTATCACTTCATTTTAATAATTTGTACTAATTGACAGAGCAGACTCCCTCCAATTCTCAAAGTTGGGTAATACAGAAGTGCTCTAAATCACAGCATGAAAACATTTTCACTTGGAAACACCTAATCCCATTACACTCCCAGTGTCTCTTCTGAGGTGTAACATATGAAAGAAGCTGCAAACCCGGTGTCATTAAGCACAAATGCTTATGGCATCAGGACCAGACATCATTAACGTCTTGGGTCACTGCTGCTCATTTTCTTCTTCATCTGTCCCAAACCATCAGGCACTGCTCAGTTTGAAGAGAGGACGGGCAGATATTTGGGTTCCCCAGCATCCTCTGATACGCTTCAGTGGGGAGAGACAGCAAACCTAGAACTTGGCTGAGGACACAGGGAAGAGACGCGTGAAGCGACGAGGTGCTCTGTGCTGCAGACGCACGCAGTGCTGTGGCGAGCAGGGGGAAGGGGCCGACAACCTCGGGGGAGCAAGCTGAGGGTGAGGGGTGTCCCTGCAGACGTGCAGGACGGCAGCCGTGGGGGGGTCCCTGGGAAGTGGGGCTGGAGGAGGCGTCTGCAGGAGGGGAGGGAGATGGGCAGGAAAGCAGGACGTCCCCTTAACACACATCACCTCTCCAGGCAGGAGCCCCCGTCCCCGGGACACCTGCAGGCTCGTGCCCCCAGACCCCGCTGGGCCTGCGGGGTTATCCCAGCGTCTCCCGGCAGGAACCCAGGAAACCAGGACAAAGCTCCAGCAGCAAAACACAACCGGCTGCCTGGCAAGCGTGCTGAGCTGACAGCAGGTTCACCGGAGCACGCGGTGACAGGCAGGAAAGTAAGAGCAAACAGCACCATCCTCTTCGGTGGGACTCCGGGAAGCCCGTCAGGGCTCAGCCCCACGTTTCTCAAGCGGAGGTGCCTCTGGTAACTGCGCTCGCAAGACACCCAGAGCTCCCCTCATGAGAGGGTTATCAGAGTGTAAAGCGTTATTATATGCACATTCATCTAGGCAGACCCAGACAGACACCGGGAAAAGCGCGGCGATACCCACTTGGTCTGGTGTTTGGAGCCCTTCAGGTGCGCGTGGTACTGCTCTATCGAGTTCAGGGTGACGTTGCAGGTGCTGCACGTGTAGCTGCGCTTCAGGCCTGCAAAGGAAACCCAGCGGCGTTAAGTGTGCGCTGCCCTCAGCACCATGTGCGCCTCGGTGTGGGCTGGGGGAAGCTCAGGGCTGCACTGGGGGGAAAAACATCTTTGTGCCTAGACTACAGACTATTCAGAATTAAAATGGCAGTTGGAAAATACAACTGAGTGAAAATGGCTGAAGAATGGGGCGGGGTGGGGGGGAGGGAAGACAAAGGGAAAAAAAAAAAGGCAAGCATTAACTCTCTCCCCCTGAAAACTTCTGATTAATTAGAAGATACACAGCTCTCAAATTTCATTTGCAATTTCCCAGACATTTCTCTTTACAGTAACCCATCTATTGACTTTTCGAGGCCAGGGTATCTAAGCACCAGTGAAGCCTAAAGGAATATTTTTAAGAGGCACAGACCGAGCAGAGTGAAGCAGGGTTCAAAGGCAAATCCCTCCTGGAGACGGCGGTCCCCGCAGTTTGTCAGCGCCAGCACCCCCCTCCTGTGGCTCTCCCACAAAGCATCATCGCACTCAGAGTAATGAGCACACGAGGACCCATTTATTCCTCTGGGTTCCTGGTAGCGACAACAATTCAGGGCAGTCCCTTGTTAGTGTATGTAGGAGCCGATCTCTCAGGAACTCGTTTTGCCCCGCAGAGGGACCCGCTCTGATGTAGCCGCCGAAGCGAACGGCTGTGTGTGCACAGAGCCCCGGATCGCCGCGGGCCGGCGGCTCGGCAGCCTTCGCCTGAAGGTCACAGCGGGAAGCCTGGCGCGGGTACCAGGTGGCCAGCCAAAAGCTGGAGCTCGTTTGCCCGACGGATTTAGTCTTGGCTGCGATACCTGTCTACAGCCCTGACCGCAAAGCAGCCCGTGCTTTGCTAATTTTAGCCCTTCGCAGATACAATAACAAACAACTATTTATAAAGCTGTTGCTCTTGCTGGTGGCCAACGGAGTACCACTGAACTAGAAATAACATCTCAGTGGGCTCGCAGTAGAAACGTTATGAAATTTTGTTGTTGTTTTTGTTTTGTGGGGGTTTGGGGAGTTTTGTTTCGCTTGGGTTTTTTTAACCTTCTAAAAAATCTCTCAGCTGCTTCTGCTATTTTCCATTTCATTGTTTGATTGCCACAGTTACAAGGGATTTTATAAGTAAACATACTGCATTTTATTTTATTGCAATGTGGATGGCAGAGGACGGGCTCTAGGTGCAGCAGTGCTGCTGGCTTAGCAGGTTAATGCTTCAGGTGACTGCGACCGCGCTGGAGCCCGGGGAAGCACAGGGGTCTGCACACGAGGTCTGTCTCCGGACAGCAAAAAAGGGGACCAGCGGCAGCAGCAGCACGGAACCAAACCTCACCAACACCCCCGGAGCGACAGAAACGGGGACTATGCGTCCTGCTGCCCGGGTCGTGGAAGGACCAGAGCTGCCCCCTCAGAAGGGGCTGCCGGACCCATGGAAAAGGCCCCCACCCCCCAAGGAGCAGCACCCACGGCTCCCTGCACAGGAAAAGCGCGAGGTTTAAACAGCATCTCTCTCCTAATTCACTTCTCTGCCTCCAGGCACAGATTGCAAGGAAAAAAAAAAAAAAAAAAAGAAACCAAAAAACCCAGGCAATTAAGCAGATTCATGCACATCTCAAACAGAAGCTGCAAAGTGATTTATAAGCAAAGTCACAGAAACAATCTCTTGGCGCATTCACTGAAAAACGTCCGAGCTGAAGAGCTAAACCCAACAAAATCAGCCTGTGCTTCACTTACTCAGCTAAGATCAAACTTCATGCCTCTGAGACATCCACTGCAGACAAGACATTTATTCACCTAAAAAGCGTGCATGCACAGAACATGACCAGGAGACTGTGCAGGATTACAATGGCAGGCACTGCTGATGAGAGCATGATACTAAGAGAAGAGCCACCTTTCTGTGTATGCAACTCAGAAATGTCTCCAAACCATGTTCTACTAATTGTCACATAAGGTAAAAAAAGCAAGAGACAGAAGATGATTTATGGGTAACAATAAAAATTGCTCATTTAAAAATTGTGATAGCTTTTATGTTGCTACCAAAGTTCAGGTTTTTACTGGAGATTGATAGTCAGATTGGGCCAGTTATTACAGCTTTTCTTCCGATACCATCCTTTCCACTCTTATGTTATTTCAGAACTTCTAATAAAGTGAATTGTCTTGGGTGGGTCTCGGGGAAGGGGGAAGAAGGTCAGGGTTAAGGAAGAAGTCCAACCTCTGTACAGAGCATCATGAGAAAACAGCCACCTGAGATGCCCAGAGAGATACAAAAAATGCTATTCTCAACACTATTTATTGTACTAAATAGGGAAATTATTTCTTCCTCATTTAACAGCTTGCATCTCAGAATTATAATGCAATGATGTAGAGCTGAGAGTATTTTCAGTTCTCAGCAGGACAAGGAAATCAAGACTTTGCCACCTCTGAAAAGCTGAAAAATCTAAAAATAGGAACCCAGCAGACAGGCAGAAATCAGAATTAGAGGTGAAGGAGAAAAAGCCTTTTCCCAAGACAGCATGCTGCCCAGTGGCTGCTGAAAATGGCTGATATTATTTTTGATTTGTGTCAGCTTAGACTTCCTGGAAAAATACAGTTTGGTTCATTTCAAAGGCATTTATTCCTAGTCCCCTGGCGTACTCCTCCTGTCATCTGGAGGGGATATTAGCCTGCCTAGCACATAATAGATCAAGTAATTATTTACACACTACTATTCTATTTTGCCTTTCTAGCCAGGTTTTCACCCAAACCATTCCTCAATGACCTTTGTAATCACAGAAGAACATGATGCTCCTGGGGAAGTTCCTCCACACCTGCAAAAGCAAGTTCAATGATTTACTTTCTCTCTCTCCTTTTTCTCTTTTTTCTTAAAATGTCTTTTTCCTTCTACAAGGAAGTGACCTGGACCAAGAAACGGACCACTAGCTGGATTCAAAATCTATTTTGGGGGGAGAAATTAGAAGCCTCTTTTAGGAACTATGGCAATTAAAACAAACCAAAACTGAACCAAACACAAACAAGCAGATATTGCAGAAGGGAACAGAGTGCAGCTGAACAGACACTAAACGCCTGTTTCCCTTCTGGACATCCCTGAGAGGGAGAGCAAGCTGAGGGCTCTTACTCCTGGTATGTAGGGCAAAACCTGACATGAATTAAACATATAAATGCAGACCTAAGTGTTTCCAGACCCTGATTCTGTTGTCTCCCTCACTATGCTGAGTGTCAGAGTAGTTTCTTCTCTTCTCCTCTCTTTTGTATTTTAATATCCTAATAATTCACTTGGCATCACAGACTGCATTAGCGTCACTGACATTACATGTACACTGGCATTACAGTAAACCATTGTTGCTGAAGTAATTTCTGTCCTGTCCTAGAAAAAAGGGAATTAGAAATTTTAGAGTCTCTGTGGTCATGTTTCTGCTTTGCACTGATTCACTTCCATGAAGACCTGAACAGACTGTTTCAAGCTTAATTGAAGGGCTCTGCTTAAATATAGCAGAGTTGTGGGATTCTTAGCACGGGCTGCTGTGCTCTTCAGGAACAGTTTTAATGAACCATGTAATAGTCTCTTTTGACTTTCTACAGTATTGTTTCTTCGCAGAAATTGTTAAAACAATTCATTTAGAACAAGTCAAGTATGGCATTCTCAAATTTGATCAGTTTATGCTTACCATAATTAACTGCATAGGCTATATACACGCTTACCATTTCCCCGCTGTACCTACGGACTCCCAAAAAATCACTTGCCTTTTTTTGAACTTCAGACACTAGCTATACTAACAGTCCCACTTTTCTCAAACACCTCATATATCTGCCACCTAGGAATTTGGCCCAACATAAAGTTAAACTCTTCTTTAAAAAATACTTGAAAAATATTGAGATGAGTACTTGAAAGTAGCAAGCAAGTGATACCACAGAAGTATTTAAACAGTCACCTATATTTTTCTGTGTCATGGAACAAAATCCCAAATGCAAATATGCTTATGGATGCTCTCCTTCCTGAACTGATTCTTGATGCAGTGGCATGGTTTTATAGTCAATCCCTCTGCCCATAGGCGGCAGCTCCTCTTCCCTTTATTAGGCCAACAGCCGTCAGAAACCAACCACGTACAAACCACGTACATTCGCGCCACCGTGCAGGGGAGGGGACGGAAAAGCAGAGCACGGCTGGCACCTTGCAGACCGAGCCCTCGGACCACGCCGCGATCACCGCACAGCACAGATCAGGGCTGGGCAAGTAAGGAGCTGGTAATACTTTAAATTAAGGTAATAAGGTTCTGATGCTCAGCAGCTAATTTAACAGCATACATTAACAGCAGCCTTACTGAATCTTAATTACTTGTGTAGGTGGAAACGCCATCAGCGATTACAGCTCCTAACTGGGGACACTGATTTTTTCCCACCAGCATGTCAAGGCCGCTCCTGAGGATGAACCCGGGGAACCCGTCCCCCCCCGTGCCCAGCACGGGGGGCTCAGCACGGGGGGCTCAGCACTGGGGGCTCAGCACTGGGGGCTCAGCACGGGGGGCTCAGCACGGGGGGCTCAGCACTGAGGGCTCAGCACGGGGGGCTCAGCACTGGGGGCTCAGCACTGGGGGCTCAGCACGGGGGGCTCAGCACGGGGGGCTCAGCACTGGGGGCTCAGCACGGGGGGCTCAGCACTGGGGGCTCAGCACGGGGGGCTCAGCACTGCGCCACAGCAGCGGCTCTTCCCACTGCCTGGAAAACGCTGCAGAACCGGCCGATTCTCTGAACCCGCCTGTGCTCCGCCGAGCGGCAGAGCTGCTGGCGCACAGGGGTTCGTTCCCAGGGATGGAGATACCGCCAAGCCCCCCCCGTTGGGGTGAGGAACAAGGGGCTGCACCGGCCGGGGGGGAAGACGCCAGAAGCCGCAGGGCGCTCCCGGGACCGGCGTTCCGGCGGCAGGACAAGGGCTGCAGGACCTCTCAGCTAAATCCAGCACCCTGAGGCAGATTTGCGCAGGAGGAGTCCTGAGTGTGACATGAACTCCACCAAAATGAGGCACAGTGAAAGGGAACTTGCCTCAGGTGAGCTGCAGGATGAAACCACAAGCAACAATCACCTCCAGAGTATCAGGATCAACCGTTTGTGATCTCACCGGAGCTCACCAAAGCCACCAACTTGGCTGAAACTGTGGTTTCATGGAACGCACCCAACCAAAGCATGTTGGAATTGAGTATCAGCAGGCAGTCTGCCATGGGAAGGTGGTCTCAACCAGAGCAGCCTCTGCGAGGAAATCCTGTGCGCCGTCTGTATTCATTCACGTCTACTTTTGCATCCTCACAACACAGCAGCGTTCCCTCCCCTGCATCATGACATGCATTCATGTAAAATTGAATGTGCTCCTATATCCATTAAATAAAATATTAACAAGTGAAGTCATTAATGTCATTTTGCATAAAATGCATTAAAACACATTCCAGGGGAGGACTTGTTAAATCACTTTTTACTAACCAAAAGTGACAGCACAGAACGAAAACTATTTATAAGGCATACAAAGAAATTATAACCTGAGAAGGAAAATGAAACTCAGCTCTTTGCCTGACTTTGCAAGATAGCATCTGCAACTGCGACAACTTACCTGAAAATACAAAGGCTTCAGGTGACAACACCCCTGTGCAGCCACCCCGATCCTGCTTTACTGCAGAGGCTGCTGTATTTTATTTTAGGGATTCACAGTGTAACCCCCTTGAGAGGCACCACTTTCTGCTCAAGGGCCTGGTGCTTTTCTTGTTCACCAGAAACCAGGTGCCCTGGGAGGAAGACCTACATTCCTGCTGTTTACAGAATCCCATCTAATCAGCTGCAGGTACACAATCCAGGCCCAGAAGCTGTTTCCATTGCTATATAAAATTCAAGTTTTACTGGCAGGCATCAAAAAGAGCCCAAAGGGCCTTGGTAAGTGGTTTGTTGTCGTGCAAAAAGGCACCAAAGTGCAGGTTATAAACACTGATGAGGTGAAGGAGGGCCTGTCTGTACGTTAAGTCTTCTGCTGGTTTTGTTCATTTAAAGATGTGCATATAGAAAGGGAAAGAGAAACGGAAAGGGCACACTCAGACCACGTAATGAAGCCCAGACTTTCAAACGCTGCACCAGCCTTCAGAGAGAACATTCTGCTGTGGGGTTTTGGCTCAGCACCAGCAATAAGCAGAGTTCGTTATTAATTAAATTCCCCGTGAATGAGATCTGCCAGTCTGTTGCGAGACCTCTGCCCCTGCAGAGCCCACCTGCGTCAGAGGAGGAATGAAAGGGATCTCAGCGATGGATAATGCCAGACATGAAGTAAAACTGCTGAAATGTGACCTGATGGAGCAAAACCACAGTTCTCTCTCTGCCTGGTGCAGGCAGTGGGAAGGCGAGAGCTGCCAGACGGAGCCGCACCGGTGCCTCCACCGGAACAGCTTCTGCTCCGTGTTGCTGAACAGGCGCAAGCTGCTGGGGGATGAGCCCAGAATTCAGGGTTCATTACCACACCCACCGGCTTTTGTCTTTTTACAATCCACCCCAGGATCGGCTGGGGTGCAGTGGCAACCAGAGGAGGCAGCTCTGCAGGAAGAAAACTCTTCATTTCTTCCTCTTTCAGGGTACGTCCCTGTGCTGTCGTAAGGGGCGAGAGCAGAGGGGTTTGCGGGCCGGCCCTCGGCGCGGTGGCTCCTGGCCTGGCTCTGCTGGCAAGGCTGGAAAAGCTGCACGAAGCTGCTTGGAGAGGCCGGGCTGGTCGCGGCGTGCGCTGACGGATAACCTGCAACTCACCCTCTGCTCGGCCAAAGCACGGGACTGCGTGCCCGGGCACCCGCACCTTTGGCCCAATGCAGACTAGAGAAATGGCGCTGCTAGTGAGGTTTCCTTTTCCCTTTTCATCCTCTTTCTCATTTCTGAGAAGAAAATAAGACTTCAAAATTACAGGATGAGCACTTGGCGAGAAGAATCAGTGCTTTTGTTTCCTATAAATATCAGTTGTCCAAAAATATATCTCTATTCTTATTTCTCCAAATACACATTAATATTTATCAATAAATATTTTATTATAACCATTATCAAAACATCAAAGGCTGATGAAATGTTGTACTTCAACTGACACTGCTTGTTCCAGGCTCACACAATGCATCAAATGTTTGTCTCCCACAGTAGTCAAAATAGAATTAATATTTAAGTTGTGATGGGAGAAGCCACCGGGGATAGCATGGAAAGAAAATGAGTTTGCTTTCTGGCAAATACCGAGGAAGCAAAACAAGCGCCGAGCAGGGAGAGCGCACGGGCACGATCCCCTCCACGTGCAGCCGAGCACTAAACCCACTGGGCATCAGCAGTGATGCCCAGACACGGTGTCTCTGACAACGTGGGACAGACCACCACCGCGAGCCCCTGACCTGCCCCTGCCATAATTTTTCTTGAAGTGGGATATGGCTTTGTCTGCCAAGGTAAGGTTATTTGCTTGGACAGAAGGCAGGTCTCATTCTGTGTTGGCTATTGCACGGATCTGCCTTCTACACGCACAGCAATCTGCTCCAGCCTCACAGCTAAGTACATTCAGGAGAGCATATCACACTCCCTAGTTAAAAAAAAACTGTGAAGAGGAGGATTACCCAGCCATAGCACTATTCCAGCAGCAGAGGCAGGCTCTGCAGGACACCACTGGCAGGCACAAGGACATCGTCCTCAGCTCACCGGGTCTGGCTGAGCGGCTCGCCGGCGTCAGAAAGCACTGGCCACCCGCGAACGGCAGACTCCGAAAGATCGGCCTGGGAGCGTCTGAGCGGGGCTCCCCCCGAGCCCGGGGACGCGAGCAGCCATGGCACTGCCCCACAGTCCCCCGCTCCTGCCGTGGGTGGACGCTGGCAGGACCACACCAGACCCAGCTGCAAATCCCAACCATGCACCGAGCCCCTGTGACGTTAAAAACCAACACGGGCTGATGAGTATGTAGAGCCCTCCAATTTCAACTCTCCTAGGCACAAGCTAAATGAATAAAACGCTTCACAATTGATTTATTTACAGTTAATGACATCCTCAGCCACTCTTGAGCTTGGCACAGTTCAAAGTACTAAGCACTTCCATGTTATTGTCCCAGGTTTTATTTCCCCGCATATTTTCAACAGCGGGCAGTGACTCAGCCGCATGAATCATTTATGGCATTGTGAGTCACACTGGGTAGCACATGAAGGATCTGGATAACCGTTACAGGGTTTATTTGAGATCAAGAAATGCACAATATACTGCATAGTCATTAGTATTTAAATGAAAATTATTTCATTTAGCCAGAAAAAAAAAAAAAAAGTACTTTAAAATGTCAATGCAATGTCTTGCTGGCAAACCAGACTTCCTCTCCTGCATGGTTTTGAAAATCAAACCTGCACTTTTTCCTCAGCCTACTTCAGTCAAATATATTGTGTGCATACAGGATTATAATCAGGACTACAGAAAAAACTTTCAACAGCAGGCTCATACCTCTCCTCCTGTAATCACACCTCCACATTAAGAAGGCGCTTCACTCGGAATTCAGCCTCAGCCGCATCCCCAGCCGGTGCAGACTGGCACATCCCCATCACGGGGCAGCGCGATGGGGCCGGCCCCTCACCAGGGCCAGGCAGCGGCTGCGACCTGGAGGGACTGGGGGGACCCGGTGGGACTGGGGGGACCCGGTGGGACTGGGGGGACCTGGAGGGACTGGAGGGACCCGGTGGGACTGGGGGGACCCAGTGGGACTGGGGGGACCCGGTGGGACTGGGGGGACCTGGAGGGACTGGGGGGACCCGGTGGAACTGGGGGGACCCGGTGGGACTGGGGGGACCTGGAGGGACTGGGGGGACCTGGTGGGACCGGGGGTGCTTGGGGGCTCTGGCAGCCACGGACACCTGCCAGGCTGCGGCTCGGCATGAGGGGGGTCCCTCCAGGGGGGGTGCAAGGCCCAAATCCGGGTGACCCTGGGGCACAGCACCCGCAGCGCCAGGAGCACCCGCAGCTCGAGCTCCCAGCGGGGCCAGGATGGACAGAGAGACGGACAGCTGCTTCAGTGGGAACACGGAAGACTTGTGTTTAACATACCCATAGCAAATGCTCAGTTCCCCTTTACTGCTGCTGACCCAGGGCCATTGCAGTGTTTTACAAGCACTAATTAAATCACAGAAGACAGCTAATGCCCTGCTCTCCATCAGGGAGATGTAGGGAGTGCTCTGCCTCCAGCACCAAACATCCCATCCCCACTTCCCTGCGGGGCTGAGCACTTCAACGTGTTCTCCCCTCTCAGCTCACAGGGATCATCCACATTTGCTCGAGGACAGAATCGTGTGCTAATGAAAGGGACTATTTTAGGAAGAGACAAAAGAAATACCTAGGAAACAACTTTTAAAGGACGCTGATAAAACTGCAGACTGTCACCTTAGAGGAGGGGTCAGTTTTTACAGCAGCAGGAGCCTCATAAAGCAGCGGGAGCACCAGGGGCTCGGCCGCACCGCTTGGCCAGAGGAGCACTGACCGCGGCGAGCCCTGCGGTCCCCACTCCCACGGGGAGCCGGTCCTGGCTCGCCGTGTACCCGTGCTCTCACCTCTCAGCTCTCCCAGGTCCAGGGTCTTGCCCAGCTGCTCCAGGAGGTCGGCCCTGGCCGCGTTCTTCTTGTGCTTTTTGCCATCGTAGTGCTGCTGTGCCATCATGGGGTTGTTGAACCAGGCTGCGCAGAGCTGGCAGTACCTGTCCGAGTCTCTCCGCTGATGCGGTGACGGTACCACCGGGGCACTATCCGTGTGCGGCTGCTTCAGGGAGCTCAGAGCGGTTTCTGTACGAGGAAACGTTCAGACATGAGCTTTTCCAGGCTACTGCTGCTGCCTGAATAACAGCAGGCCCTGAGGCAGATCCCACATTAGACAGAGGGAGTAATTAGCAGCAGTTACAGGGTCCCACTGGATATTTTGGATGGTACTGCTTGGAAATCTACCATTTCTCATAAAGAAAAGCAGCATGAAAGGACAGCACAGGGCTGTTCCTCCACTATCTGCATTTCACTAGCTGGGAAAGGAGGATGCTCTCACTGCAGTTACACAGCTTATCACTGTTGTGACTGAACCTGCTGAACTTATCCTGCTTAAATTGATACTCCCAGGAAAAAATTGCCAGTGGAGAATAAACAAAACATGCAAAGCCATCTACTTCCCAAGATAGAGACATAGATTTATCATTATCTTAGGACTCTTAATTTTCAACTTATTTGATCTCAGAAAGAATAGGGAAAGCTGGAGCAACTGTAAATTGTCACAGACAAAAAAAAAAAATATTAATTAGTCAGTCCCCCTCATCCAAATATCTTCACATTGAGAATTGACAGGTACCAGCAAACCGTGACCTTCATTTAATCCCATTTCCCTTCAGATTCACCATGAGGCTGTCTGGGAACACAAACGTGATCCCCAAATAATTTCAAAGAAAAATGGGTGATTAGTCTTTACATAATGGAGCTGCGCCTTGTTTGCCACAGTTTTCCTACTTTGTACAATGTAAGTTGCAAGGCAATGGAAAAACAGCTTAAAGTAAAATAAAGTTCAAACAACATTGGGATACAAAAATATACAATGACTAGCACTTAATTATCACACCTCATTCAAAAATTCCCTTTTATGTGGTTCTCCTTTTCTTTTCTTTTCCAGATGAAATGTCTGCTATCTAAATAATTAACAAACCACTCTCTCTGTGATACAAGAATAGGCAAATTTGAAGGTGGTGAAGGGGAGCTCGATCGCTCTCCTTTGCTCAAGAGGCTCCGCGCTATCCCAGCTGAGCCCTGACGAGAGCACGGGTTGGCAAGTGATGAACCCACCTCAGCCACCGATACCGGGAACGGCAGCAGTGAGCGAAACAGGGATATATTTAGACGTATAATTACAACTGAAGCCTGCTGTGATTGACTCCATGGCTCAAGAAAGTTAATATTGTTATAAATTTTCTGCTGACCTGCTCAGGAAGGGACATCTATCAGATTTCCTCAAGGAAATTGTAGCTTACATATAACATTACTTATAACCTTATCCATTTCCAAGGGTTTATAAGCTTCTATTGTTTTTGATGACAGCTGCCAAGGTGTAAGGGTTTCATGGCCTGGACGGCTGGGTGAGGCACCATCACCCTCCTCGCCAGGCCACATCTGGAGAAACACCTGGAGAAGGGTTTCCTGCCTTCTGCTGCTGCCACCAGCGCTCTGCACAGCACGAGCCAAACGAGCTCTTTCGGGGATTAGTTAATAAAGTGATTACACAACTGGCTCCCACAGAAGATATTTCTTCTCCTCGTTCTGCTGTCTCGCGAGCCGCCCGCCCGCTCGTTTGGATTCATTTCACCCCACCAGAGGATTCCACTGCCTAATCTCTGCCTGCCCTCCATTTAACTAGCCTAGTTAGAAATCAAGCACAACACCAACAAAGAAAAACTTTTTCCTTTGCCCGGGGCCCGTGATGCCCCTTGCAGCGTGCCGGGGCGATGCTCAGACACGTCCCAGCTCTGCCAAGGCAGCCGAGGTCGGCAGCTGTGCCGCTTCCTGCAAAACTGCTGCTGACGGAGCTGGATTTTGCTCCTAAAAACAACATCTTTTCCAACACCTACAGTTCCAGCCTGAAGGACGCACCCCCAGCCCCTCCGAGGTGCCCGCAACATAAACGGAAATGCAAGTACACCAAAGAGCAGAGCCGGGGGCCGACGCATGGCAATTAAGAAGAAAATTAGGAAGTAACAATACTGCCTGTCCAAATTAAGAATACACAGGCTTTGCGTATGCTTGACTGACGAAAAGCAAGCGCAGCTTGCCTACCACTCACACGCCTTGGGGACCGCTGCCGGCACTCACAAGGAGCATCCCTGCAGTCGGGGGCCGATGCCAGGAGCTGCCCCACGATGCTGCGGAACCCGACCCGCTCCCCAGGATGTGCACACATGGACCATTATAAACATCCCGTTATTACAGCCGTCCAGGAGCTCTGTGATATATCTGACTTGCTGCTCCGCAGGCCCCAGGCTATAAAGTTAAATCTATCAGATCTCCTGGTCAGCTTTCTCCTTGTTTATATGCGAGCTGCCTGCAGCGGGGAACCAGGGAGAGGCTGAAGTTCGCAGAGCTGGTGGTGTCCACAGGAGTTATATCTCCTGCTTGCTAAAGAAATACGCCTGGAGCCCCCGCTCTGCTCAGCCACCAGCCGCACGGCAGCCCCGCGGCTGCGTGTCCGAGCCCCTCTCGATGAGGTTGGTGGCAGTGCGGGAGGGAGGCTGTCAGGGGGACCGGCACTCCTGCTTCGGGGGACTGCACCCCAGCCCCCTCATACCCACCTTATCCCTGCTCCGAGCCCACCACCCTGCCTGGCTCCCCCCAGCCCCATGGGCTGCAGCCCCCACGGCAGCCCCCCTCTGCCCACACCACACGGGTGCTCCCGTGGGGCAGGGATTTCCTCTTAGCACTCACAATACAAAACTTCTTCTTATAAAGCCACATTCCTCAGGTTCCCTTTACAAATACCACCAGTCCTAAGGTGTGCTGAACCCAGCCTGGCAATTAATGAAACCGCCCTGTGTCTTCCAAATCCTCCTGAAGAGAAATAGATTAAAGTTGACTTCTCCACAAATGCAGATTTATCATTTTGATATGTGCTACATAACTACTACAGAATAGAAAAATATCATCATTTCCTGAGTAGCAACACAAAAATTAATAATAAACACTCACAAAGCGTCAAACGTTAAAAATGTTTCTCCATCTAAAACACAAACACAAAAGCTGCTAGTTTGACTATTTCAAGTATTTCAAAATGCTAAATAGCTCATGACAGTCTGCCTTACATTCCCTTTTGCTGTGGGAGGGAAGTGAGAAAGTCTTACTTTGCTGCAAGAAGCAAAATATAAAGTTAGAAACACTTTAGCACTCTGGCAGTGAACTAATGTTTGACTTATTTCTTGCATGCAAAGCTTTTTATTCATAGCTGCATTTAAATGGCACCCAACTTCTTATCATTGCCACTCTCCAGGAACTGAGCATGAGAATGAGAAAGTAACTGAGCCACAACAATGGGGCACTGCAGAAATTCCATTTTCTTCAGAAGACAAAGCTGGGCCTAAGGTAGACTCCAGCTGCTGCTGGACGGATCCTCGCACCCAAACCCAAAAGCCATTTACTCTGTACCTCTGAGCACAACTGAAACACAAACCCCACACTGGGAATTACAGAATAAGGAGGTAAAAAAGACAAGCCAAGGTAACTTCTTCTGCCAGCAAACTCCCGTCCTTATTCCTCACCCCGAGGAGGGGCCCCTGGTGTGGGAATCTCCCCCGGCAGCAGCCCAGCACCTCCCAAAGCCATGGCTCGCGGCGCTGCTGGGGCTGCCGGGCCATTTCCACCCTCCTAAAGGATGCCTGCAGGTACCTGTACTTCGATCAATGAAGGCAGCAGCTATTTCCCCCCACAATTCTTTGTTTTATAACTCATACTGATGACTGGATGCAAGCTGACAGAAAATGTTGGAAATGACTAGAGGAATTCATCAGCAAGAGTGGTGACATAAAGCCTCTGAGGGCTACAACCATGTACAGCAGGAGCAACAGAAAAGATCACAAGTATTTCACTGTAGTGATGAGACATCACTTTCCTATTGTGAACAACCTGACTGTTAAGGCACTTCTCCCTCTCCTGAAGCACCAGCAGGGAAATGGGAGATCTGTACTTCATTAAGACGATAAAATTGAAAGGGAAGGTGTGACTCCATAAGGGGACCGAGAATAGATGTCATTTTCTCTGGGACTGGCGAGACAGAAAAGCCAAAATATCAAGCAGCTGTCTGTTTGGAGGCAGCCTGCAGCCGCCAGTGCATCCATGTGCATCTGCCAAGCCGGTCCGGGCCCTCCCGCAGCAGGCGACGGGTGCTGCAGCTCGGGGGGGCCAGGATGCGCGCTGGGACCGTCTGGTCGGAACGGGGGGACAGCACTGCCAGGGCACAGAGCACGATGCATGCTAATGTCTTCCACCGCTTTATGCACTACGCAGAGCAGAGGCTGCTCAGAGTTTAGGGTTGATGCAACCTCCGTGGTGACGAGAGGGAAATCTGCTCTTTACCAATCCAGCAGAGCTGAGAGAAACATTTCACCTTGCGGCATGAAACGCACTGGGCAGCCGAGGAGGCACCTGCAGAAATCCTCCCTCCGCCGCTTTCCGGCGGGAAGCGGGAGCGAGCGCAGGATGGAGCCGCAGGGCGCTGGATTTGGGGAGCAGCTGCTCTGCAGAGCTGAAGCCCCGGGGAATTTCTGGCCACGGGCAGCAGCCCCAGGTCCCCCAGCAGCGTCACAGCACAGCATGTCCAGAGCCACTGCCTCCAGGAGCCATGACGAGGAACAGAATTCCAGTTGCAGACATTTTTCAATTTTTTCACCTTTGCTGAGTGTATTACATATTTTTCGATGCATTTTTCTTTACTGGAAAGTGCCACTCTCCCAACAGCTCAAGAATTCCCCTGAAGTTTCAACTGCAATCAGTGGTCTTCATTTTGTCCCCTAAATTAATTTTGTTACTCTGCAATTTAAAGAGATGCTATACTCCACAGAGGCAATTGCACATCTGTGTGATCAAAATGACTCCTGCAAAGACAGTTGTGCAAAGAAATTCACAAATCCTTTCCTCCCTTTACACACAGACCAACTAATTAAGCAAACGGTAAACACAGAATTTCACAAGAATTTAGGGTAGCAGAATCAATTTTTGTGCAAGGCTAAAAAACAGACATCGAAATCTGGAGGTTATTATCTATTTTTACTTGTCTACTGCCACTAAAATACCTTTTCAGTTTGATTGTGTTTAATCTCAGACATAATAAGAGCACTTGGGGAACTCTGAAAACATTTTAAGCTTTTTTTTTTTTTTAATTAAAAGATTATGAGAGTTCAAATATTTGTATAGGGTCTTTCTCACTTTTTTTAAAAGTGAAAGTTAAAAGATACTTGACTCTCAAGATCTTAGGGAAACACCAAATAAAACATCCAATCCATTTAACCATCTGAAGGATTGCCATGTTATGGTCAGAATAGCAGCTTGATTTCTTTTAAAGGTGCTAACCAAGCATGAGCTCGTGCCTCCCGAATCGCCAGCACCCACTCCTCACTCACTGGCCTCAACTTCCAGGTCCCCAGAACATCAGAAGGGGTTGGATCTCTCAGCAGCAACACACCGGTAATTATTAATACACCTCTTAATTGCTGCAAGTTAGCAGCTTGCTTCTGAGCAGATTAATCTTCTATTAAATGTTATTTATCTCCTTTGTGAAAATCAAAGGGAGAACAAACCACGACGCATCCCAGCAGAAGGGGGTGTGGAAGCGCCACGTCACTGCCCCGCGGCCCCAGCGCTGTCGGGGGGGGCTCTGGGACCAGGGGCACCCAACAGCCCTTTCATTACGGGGGCCCGAGCAAAGAGCAGCTCCACCGCCAGCACCCGCAGCCTCCGTCAGCGGGAACACAGAGCTGACGCTGAAACGCTGGCAGGCCTTCTGCAGTCAGGGCTTTAAGGACGACGTCCAAGAGCCTCTGCAGTGCCCGTCCATGGAGCTGGGGAAGAGAAATGCCTAGATAATAAATTCTCCTACTGAAAAGAGCACAGCCACCGCCCAAACCCTGCACAGCCACCTGCAGCCAGGCCACGCTGCTGTCACAGACATGCGTGAAGCCCCTGGGGACAGAACGCTCCTCCCCGGGAGCATCCCGCACACTCAGGGCTCAGCGTGGTCGGCTCCCAGGAGTCACGAGCACCGGAGCCTCTGAAGCTCTGTCAGAGACTGAAAGCTCCCTGGTGCCAGCCGTGAAGGACTGAGACAAAAATCCAGTGGAAAAATGCTCGGCAACTCTGCAGGAAGCCCAGAAAAACGCTGTGTCCAAAGGGCACGTTTCTTAGAGCCACTGGAGAGCAAGGAGGTGCTTATTAATGTACTCCTGCAGCTCAGCTTCATCTTCCAGATCAAGTGTCTGGACGAGCCGAGGAGTCCTTGAGTTACTCTTTCCCAGTGATTATGGCAGCTGAAGAGCCCATTACTCTCTGAGCACACGGTGCAGCTCACTTAGAACCTCTGCGAGGTTGATCCAGATGATTAAGAAAATTAGACAAAAACACACTGCAAAGCTGGAGCTCTTGGAAAAGCCTGCCTTGAGAGGGCCCTACGGCCTCTGTACCCACGGGCAGCACGGTGGGGCTGGTCGCTGCACGGTCTTGCACAGACCCCACGGTAGATCAGCCTCAGCACCGCTCCGGAGAGGTCTCTGACAAAGGCAGGGGTACAACTGGTTCTCATCTACCTACCGCCAGTCCACGCACATCTCCACTTCGTGAACAGAAACGTTGGCTCACCAGAGCCCAAGATCTCCACCGGCACCGGCTGTGCCACCATCAGCTCCCTCCTGCCACTGCTCCAGAATCAGAATCCCTGCCCAGTCCGTCCGTCTGTCCCTGCACCGCTGCCGGCAGCTGCCTCTGACCTGCCTGAACAGCCCCGGCCCCGCGGGGTCCTGCCCGCGGCAGCAGTCCCAGAGCTGAAAGCAGCGACTCTTTCCCTGCTGGAGGGTGAATCCAAATCCTTGATTTACGTGGGAATCGGTCTGTGCGCTATTCCCTGAAATCCAGCACCCCTGCGACCCTTGAAAACTCACCTGAATTTAAGCAGGAATACTAACTAGGTTTTGTGGCAGGTCATCTGGTGGCGGAGGAGAAACCACTGGAAGGCTGCATACGAGAGGGCTGGAGTTCTGAGCAAGCACTGGACAATTAAACACCATAAACGAGTACCCTACTTCTCTCAGTGCCCTTGTAATTATTTGCCAGCTGCAGAGAACAGCCTGAGGAGTCCTGAAGTGAGTTAGCTCAAATTGCCACGTTAGTCCGTGTGGGACCCGCTGTCCCGGCTGGCTGCGGGGCCGGTCAGGAGCTGCCCGCACCCCCCCCGCCCGCGGCAGCACCCTCGCCCCTGGCAGGATCCACAGCCGGTACCCAAAGCGCCGGGCGCTTTCCAGGTGCGCCTCTGCAACTCGTGATCTCTGCTGCACCTTCACTGCACCGGCCTTCTGAACGCGCACTCGCTAGTCAAAACAAGCAAGCCACCATCCAAAGCGATTCCCCACGCTCCCTGCGGCAAAGGGGATAACGTTTCCCAAGCCAGTGCTGGTAAAGGAGAAATGATATTCTATGTATCTACAGCCTGTGAAGTGGAAAAAGCAACAAAAACACACACACTGAGCCAAGCCCCCTCTTATTTAATCGCATCTAGGATTTCTGCACATCGGGTTAGGTAGGATGTAAAATGCACAGCTAAATTTATATTCTGTTCTGAAGGAAGTGCCACTGGTAGTAACACTGAAATACACCCAGCTGCAGGACCACAGCCCAGTTATCCTGCAGGGTTAGCATGAAGAATACTTTGTTCAAGTATCCTCTGACCTGACAACCACAGAGGAAGTTTTGTTTCACAGTATATTAGCGGTTTGCAGGGACTTTATGGTTAAGCAAACAATAAGATGGTTAAATTACCCGAATACAACATTTGATTTTTTTTTTAATGTGAAATTTAATTGGCTTGCATTATTGAAACCACTGTGGAGGAAAGCATGAATACCCATCTGGGCAAAAATCAAAAGACAATTGATCCAACAGTTTTTAAAGACTAGATTTCCCTCTAAGGTAAAAGCAAATGATATTCTGTTCTATACAGTAACACGCAAGGTTTATTAAACATATTAGCTGAGCTGTTGAGTAACTTCTGATAATTAAAGCAAGGCTTGGCTATTTGTGCCCAGAGGATATAGTGTCTTCCACCGAGCAAAACATTTCAGAAGCATGGACCAGAGATAGGACTGTCATACACAGGCCAGCCCTGGCTGATAAACCACTAATCTACGTGAACAAACCAGACAATAATGAACAGCAGCAATTTTTAAGGGTTGTTCTGACAGCAACACAAATGAATAGCTGCTTCTGCCGGCCTCCACCGCTCAGCTCCCCGTTCTGCGCCGCGCGGGCACCGATCGGCACCGCGAGCCCGCTCCTCCCCGCGCCGGACCCTCCGGCTCCAGCTCGCTGCCTCCGGACCTACCTGTGGCCTTTAATGCTGGTTGTTCACCTAGCAACAGTTTTAACCTTTTGGCATGGATTTTCCCTTGGTAATGCGATTCGGCCACCACTGCTGAGGTAAAGGACATGTTACATAGTGTGCAGCATTTGTTCTTATCCACTGAGTCACCATCACTGCCCTGGGTGGAGACAAAAACACAGACAAAAAGAGAGGTGTATAAGCCCACCGAGCACAGTCACGGAGAAAGAAGAGAGGAATCCAGGTTGTTACACCAAGGCCATGGTTTCCACGGGGTTTCCCTTCCTTGTCTCCCCCAGCCTCGCTCCTGCCTGGTCCCAGCCCTGCTCGGCCTGGGGATGTCTCTGACCCCCGGGCACTCCCCAGCCCCCAGTGCCTCCGCTCTCCCCTGCACGCTGGGAGCTCACCCCCTTGCCTCGTGCTCCCCGCGGCCGTGAGGCTCGCCCGTTCACATCCACCAGCCTGCCTTCCTTTAGCCTTGATTCCTATTCTCTGGCCAAGGGAGTTTTACAAATCTGGTGCCATCCCTGCCACCAGGCACCAGCACTTCCCCTTGCCACGCTCCTGTAGGAGACCCCAAAGCAGCTGGGGGGGATGGGACTCGGGGGGTGCAGCCCTCTCTGCGGGTGGAAGAAGAAAATGGACCAGCGGGACTCATGCTGGTCCCCCAAGCGGGATCGTGCACCACCCCAGATTCCTCCTGCCCCTCTGCCTTCGCTCTGCTGCTCTCGAGCCCGTGGGGGAGACCCTCTTGCCCCCCACCTTGTGCAGAGACCGAGACCGAGGGGGAGATTGGCTGGAGGGGTGAGGAGCCCTGGCTGCACCCCTCTGCAGCCCGAGTGTCTGTTCCAGCAGGCGGGAGCTCCACGGGGCACCCGTCTGCTGGCTTTCACGAAGGAACCCGGCTCATATCTTGCAGCAGTAATTTACCACCAGCTGCTAACAAGATAAACCTGAAGGCAAGAGCAGCCTCATGGCACATACTAAAGACAGGAATTACACTTGCTGCAGGGTTTGCACAAAAGGTAAAAAAGAGAAAAACACATAAAAGCCAAGTTTACGTTCTGCTCCTTTTATAAAGATGGATTTTGAGCCCTTGAACCTTGCCAGATGAAAAAAGGCAATCATAAAAATCCAAGACGCTTTGCACATGGTGGTAAAAGACATCCCAAAACCAGACTCTGCCTAAAGCAAACTCAGACCTGCGGCCTGTATCCCTGTTTGAGGATCTGCGCAACGAAACACCTTGGTGCAAAGGGCCTACCCCCTTGTGAGATTCTTGGTGTCATCTAAGAGGTGGTTGGAACTTTTAAGGAGCTATCAACTGCACCACTCAGTATTTCAGTACCCTCAAGAGGCTCTCATGGCGGCAGCAACACAAGTAGGGGCCATCCTTCACAGTTATTAACTGCTACATCTTTATTTTTACAAGTAAACACCGTTTTAATGAGAATATGGTCTCCAACCTTCACTATGGTTATTCTTGCAAGAATAAAAGCCAGTGTGCCTCTGCCCAGCTGTGTGGCTGAGCTCAGACCTTCTGCTCTAAGCAAACCCCCTGAGGAGAAATGGTTGTAGCTCCAGGCTGCCTGTTCTCAGTGCAGCAGCACCCGCGTCGCTGCCCGTGCCACCGTCCATCCTGGAGCCTGCAGCAGCTCCCGGCACTGCCCCACGTCTCATCCAGACCCCCGTTATCCCGGGGGGGCACGGAGCATCCCGGTACCCCCCGACACCTCCCAGCACCTGGGCTGGAGTCACCACCACTTCCTGGGCACAGACACCCGCCAGGATCTGTCCCCACGCCGAGGGGGGTCCTGGCCCCCTGGGCTGGGGCAGGCGGAGCGGGGGGCTCAGAGGGACCCCCTGGCAGGGAGAAGCCAGGGAGGGCTTGGGAGAATTGCCCACAAACAGCCCCTGGGCAAAACAGGACTGGGACTGCCAGTGAGCGCTTAGGGAGGACAGCTTCCACAGATAAAAGGGTGGAAAGCACGTTTGCACCATTAGTGCCAATTAATTGCTCAATCCATTCCACAAAGGAAATGGGATTAGCATTTAGGGCCATAGATAGGCAGTCTCGCTTTTCCAAAGATCTCGGTATGTTCTGTTGGCCACCGAGCACAATTTATCACCGATCTCTTTTGAAAATACTCCTCTGTGCAGAGCAAGCCCTTTCCAAAGCCGGGAGGTGACCTGCTGTGTGCAGGTAGTTAGCATCCTGGTCCCTTCCCTGGACAAGATGCTCAGATCTGGCCCCTGTGCCACAGCAAAACTCCCTCCAGTGACAAGCCATCTGGAGACAGTTGTACTCTCTTTTTTTTTTTTTTTTTAAAGCAGGTATTCCAACTGCCGGCATACAGTCAGAACAGAAAATAGTCCACTTTAGAAGCTGCCATCTTCATTCCTCAACAAGCTGTACATGCGTCCTGCAGCTTGTCCCTGTGCAGAGACTCGGGGGCACCAGCCTGCTATTTAAGGTCATTTTCTCCCCCAAAAGAAGCACAATTAGAAAAAGGACTGATTTGCATAACTTTTTTGTTGTTGTTAACTATAAATCAACTTAAACCTTGGGGAGAAATCTCGAGAGGTGGTAAGTATTGTTCTGAGTGCTATTTGCACTTCTTTTAAATAGGTTTCTCTCAAGATATTTTATGTCTTCAAAGGGAAATCACTTGAAAGTTAAGAGCAGAGTAAAAAATTCCCAGACTATTGATCATCAGCTGTGGTAACATATAAAAAGCCTCCAACAGAGCTCCTTTGAAAAGCTGATACACTTTGGTGTTTACACACCAGGGTTTCTTCCTCTACCTGGTCTGCTCTTCAGTGACATTTTTCCTGTCCAACCTATTTTCGCAGACAGACTGCAGCTAAAACTACAAAAAAATAATCATAATAAAAAAAAATAGACCCCCTCAAAGACCTCATTTAAAGCCCAAGGTGCCATTTACACTGATCCAGAGGTCACTGTGCAGCTTATCCCAGTTCACCCAAGGCTCTGGGCGACCACCTTGAAGTCTGGGTGGGGATTTGGCCACCAGACTGGCACCCGCCTGCAGGAGGGGGGTGTCCCCTGTCCCCAATTTCTGGGTCAGCCTGAGTCCCAACCTCTGCACAAAACACAGACGACCTTCTTTCCCTAACAGCCAGCCGTTTTCCGTACGCTAACTGCCGCTCTTTCTTAGCAGGATGCAGGAGACGCTTGGGCTTGCGTGTCATTAAGCATTTAGCCAAGCCTGCAGCCCTGGTCAGCAGAATTGCCTCCCTGCCCTCCTCCCCCAGCCACGCTCCCGGCACCGCGCTGCCCAGCCTGGATCCCTGAAGGGTAATTATGCCTTCTCGTTTGTCAGCGGCTGTTTTACCTGTAACCAGAGGGGGTGGGGGGAACCCGATCCGGGTGTCTTTTGTCACCCGCTGAATGACACTGCGTTGACAGGATTGTGCAGCCAGCTGGTAAAATCACATCGGTAGTCGATGGGGATGGCACAGGGCTGGGCCGGCCCGCAGCCTGCTCGGGGCAGACGCCCGCTCTCCGGGGATGCTCTGCACCCACGGGTGCGCTCATCCACCTCCGCTTCCCTCGCCCCCACGCCCAGCTCAGCCTAGAGCAGCAGCAGCAAATAGGCACTAACATCTCAATTTAGTTTCCATAAAACCCACACAGGCAACTCTCTAACCCCGTGCTGCATAAAGCCAGCCAATGTGCAAGGAATATTTCTACCATTTGTTTTTGCAGCCTTCTCCAGACAATCCCTTCTCGCTAACCTTTGCAGAGATGCAGCAGTGACAGGGGCGAATGGCCTCGCATAAACCAAAGCACAACAAGACACACCATGGGATCAGAGATAAAGCATCTGTTTCCCAACGCTGACATTGCTCATCTTCCCCCCACTCCATAGCAGGGCCAAGCCAGCCTAATTTATAGGGCTGCTTCTTGTAATATTATAAACTTCAAAGCAAGTCTCATACATCCAACAGAATTAACTTCAATTATTCAGATGCCTGTTAACAAGCTGCTAAAAGGCATAATCCTCACACAGGACCAGGCAGTTGCAGCCCTTGGCTGGATGTTCCTTAAGCAATCCTCAGGAAAAGTAAGGATTTTTATTCCACAGCTACAAACTGCTGTCTTAATTTCTTAGGTTTTACTAAGAAGAAACGATTATACAAACCCTTGAAATATAGCAGTGTAAAACATAGCACTCAAGGCACTGCAAAATATCTTTTAAACTTGAGTTAATTTTCTGTACATGAAGAAGGTGTCGCTGCTAAAGAGCTATTTTCTGTAACACTCTCTGTGAAATTTAGACCACTTCCATTTTGGAGCCTGTTTTTCTTGTGGCATAAGCAAAGAACAAGTACCAGTTTGCAGCTATCTAAATCTGAAATGCTCGTGAAGCCTCGGAGCATCCTAGGATCTATACGTCCTCCAAAGCGAAGCCGGCCCTAAGTTAGGTAAGGGGTGTGTTTGAGAAGGTAAACAGGCGTCCCCCGGCCCCGCTCTGGCAGGGACGGAACCACGGGCAGCTCGGCGAGGACGGGGGTGACTCCTGAGCCGGAGACCCCGTGGCCACTGCTCCGCTCTGGCTCGGGGGACGTATAAACCTGGGACGGCACACAGGAGAAGAGGGGAGGCCCAGGGTGCAGGGCGGGCATGCAGCGGAGCCCCTCACAGTCACTGCAGCTCTCGGCCAGGCCCCGCCTTCCGTCAGAGCAAAAATTCACCTCTTCCACCACTAATTTATTTCATTGAAACCAATACCTGACCTTTTGGTTGAAAACCTCTGATCGGGTACAAGACACACAGTAATAACGTTGGCCCTAAAACCAGACACTTCATCTTAGTTTCAGTGTAATCGCTGAAGATTTCGGTTATAGCAAGCAGTAAATTTTGCACTAGAAGCTATAAAACCTGTGATTTCCTTGCTGATTGGGAACTGAAGCCGAGCCTCCCAAGGCAGCCACCGGCACCATTTGCTCCTCAGAGCGGCACAGCTCTTGGCTTAACCATCTCCAGCACTGCCTTGCAGGACATGCATTACCCTCAGCAACAGAATCGAATATCCTGCTATCTTCCCTCAAGCAATTTATCCTTGCTATTATGATCCCTTTCCTTTTTAAGGAAGATGATGCTGGTTAAAGCAATTCAGTATCTTATAGTGCAAACAGGGCTAGAAAAAATTTGAAGGCTTTTCTCCCACCCCAAAAAATGCGTTTCACAGCACATCAGAAATTTTCATCATGTCTGTCCTGATCATAAACAGAGGTCCTATTTTTTAAAGGTAATGAGAAAAGCCTGATTAAAACCGATTCACCAATCCTGGGACTTGAGGATATGACTCCTAATTTCAGCGGGGCCCTGACACAGGCTGCAACCTTCTCAGATTACTTTCAGCTGAAATGTTAAGCGGAAATTTGAAAGGAAAGGTCAACAATCATTCAGTACACCAAAGACATGAGGTTTTTCCCCTCCTCCACAAAAAAAAATTAAAACAATAATGAACAGCCCAACAACTGAGTCGTTAATCCAGTGCAAGACTAATTGTATAAGCAGTGCAAGACTAATTGTATAATTGCATAAATCTGTAAGACAGGAAAGGATAATGGGTGTTTTGGGAATGCAGAGTATTTTTACAGTCCTCAAGCAACAGCAAACACTACCCTTCGCCTCCCTGAAAGGTCAGATAGCAAATGCACTCTCTAAACCTATTGCACTGAGCAGCTACAACAGCAGCAGCTTCTCCTTCCTCTGCCATATGGGAGACAGACACGGTGTTTAGTTTTGTGGCCAAAAGGATACAAATCAAATGGCACACAGTCATGTACCAGCCCGGTTTTTGATAAAAAAAGCACGGTGCAGATGCTTCTACACAGAAATTTAATTGGTTCTCACAGATTGTTTCCAATATTCGTTCAAGTCAGCGTGCCACGGTTTGACTCAGCTGCTGGATACCTGAACTAGGCAATGCAGCTGCACGCCGTACGTGGCAATGATGTTATCATACAACATTAGAGACGTCCAAAATATTTCTGTTCTCTTTAAATGCAAAGGCTTGGATAATATCTGAGCAGCAGCAAGCCTACTTTGAGCTGGAAACGTTGGCACATTTTCCCTGCTATATTTTTATAACATCAGTAATTTTAGTATTTAGGCCTTGCATAGCCTATCATTCACCTAGTGTGTAAGGACTTGTTAATTCATCCCCAACTAAGGGCTGCCCTTGGCACAGTCAAGCATCAGCAAACATAGAATTACATTTCTTCTCACTGGTGCCTTTCGCAAAAGAAGTGGGAAGCAGTTCAGCTTTGACTTCTTTGAGGTCTGTTTGGTTCTCTGTCCACCATGACCTTGTGCTGAGGTGCACATGCAGCTGTGTGATTTCTTGTTATATGTAATGAAGCTCATTAGAGGACCATGGTCCAAGTCTCTCTGTGCACGTCCACTGTACCTTCCACACTCTGCAATTGATAAACTCAATAAAAATACTGTGAGATTCTGTTGTTAAGGGGTAGACTGCATCTGCAATTATCCTGTGTGCAACATAAAAGTTCCACTAAAATTTTAATTACTGTGTGAAGGAGCTTTCAGATTCCTTTGGCATAACTTGCATGCTTCTCCCTTTAATTAGAAGTTATTTCACTAAATATTGATAGCACTAAGCCACAGTCACACTCCCATAGATCTGAAATGGTTGGGATGCTATCTGGTGGGAACCTCATCAACAGCTCTCACACCAGCCCCAGAATATGGGAAAGTGCTGAATGAATAATTCACTGTGAATCAGTCCCTTATAAATTTAGTCTCCTTTTATTGCCTGACAAATGGCTGTGAGCTGGTCCAATTTCCTCACATTCGTTTATTTGAATGCAATTGAGGAATCCAACTGCCATTTTTTAAAACTGCAGACTGACCATAAACCTTTGTGAGGAGCCTTTCAGACCCAGCACTCCGTTTTCATCGACTTTCAGTAAAACACGGGCCAGAGGAGACCTCGGAGGCGACGCTGCTCCGCGGTGACCTGCCGCTCACCCCGGGGGCTCTCGGGGGTTTCAGCCACATCGCGGCAAGGACACTGCGGGCACCGGCTCCTCACATGGTACCGCCGCACACAACAGCTCCTCACACGGTACCACCGTGCTGGGTGTGCACACAGCAGCTCCTCACACGGTACCACCGCGCTGGGTGTGCACACAACAGCTCCTCACACGGTACCACCGTGCTGGGTGTGCACACAACAGCTCCTCACACGGTACCACCGCGCCGGCTGTGCCCACAACAGCTCCTCACACGGTACCACCGTGCTGGGTGTGCCCACAACAGCTCCTCACACGGTACCACCGTGCTGGGTGTGCACACAGCAGCTCCTCACACGGTACCACCGCGCTGGGTGTGCCCACAACAGCTCCTCACACGGTACCACCGCACCGGGTGTGCACACAGCAGCTCCTCACACGGTACCACCGTGCTGGGTGTGCACACAGCAGCTCCTCACACGGTACCACCGCACCGGGTGTGCACACAGCAGCTCCTCACACGGTACCACCGCACCGGGTGTGCACACAGCAGCTCCTCACACGGTACCACCGCGCTGGGTGTGCCCACAACAGCTCCTCACACGGTACCACCGTGCTGGGTGTGCCCACAACAGCTCCTCACACGGTACCACCGTGCTGGGTGTGCACACAACAGCTCCTCACACGGTATCACCGTGCTGGGTGTGCCCACAACAGCTCCTCACACGGTACCACCGCGCTGGGTATGCACACAGCAGCTCCTCACACGGTACCACCGCGCTGGGTGTGCACACAGCAGCTCCTCACACGGTACCACCGTGCTGGGTGTGCACACAGCAGCTCCTCACACGGTACCACCGTGCTGGGTGTGCACACAGCAGCTCCTCACATGGTACCACCGTGCTGGGTGTGCACACAGCAGCTCCTCACACGGTACCACCGCGCTGGGTGTGCACACAGCAGCTCCTCACACGGTACCACCGTGCTGGGTGTGCACACAACAGCTCCTCACACGGTACCACCGTGCTGGGTGTGCACACAGCAGCTCCTCACACGGTACCACCGCGCTGGGTGTGCACACAGCAGCTCCTCACACGGTACCACCGTGCTGGGTGTGCACACAGCAGCTCCTCACACGGTACCACCGTGCTGGGTGTGCCCACAACAGCTCCTCACACGGTACCACCGTGCTGGGTGTGCACACAACAGCTCCTCACACGGTACCACCGCGCTGGGCGTGCACACAGCAGCTCCTCACACGGTACCACCGTGCTGGGTGTGCCCACAACAGCTCCTCACACGGTACCACCGTGCTGGGTGTGCACACAACAGCTCCTCACACGGTACCACCGCGCTGGGCGTGCACACAGCAGCTCCTCACACGGTACCACCGTGCTGGGTGTGCCCACAACAGCTCCTCACACGGTACCACCGTGCTGGGTGTGCACACAACAGCTCCTCACACGGTACCACCGCGCTGGGTGTGCACACAGCAGCTCCTCACACGGTACCACCGTGCTGGGTGTGCCCACAACAGCTCCTCACACGGTACCACCGTGCTGGGTGTGCACACAACAGCTCCTCACACGGTACCACCGTGCCGGCTGTGCACACAACAGCTCCTCACACGGTACCACCGTGCTGGGTGTGCCCACAACAGCTCCTCACACGGTACCACCGTGCTGGGTGTGCCCACAACAGCTCCTCACACGGTACCACTGCGCTGGGTGTGCACACAACAGCTCCTCACATGGTACCACCGTGCTGGGTGTGCACACAACAGCTCCTCACACAGTACCACTGCACCGGGTGTGCCCACAACAGCTCCTCACACGGCACCGCTGTGCCAGCCGTACACACAACAGCTCCGCACGCAGCACCATCGTGCCGGCTGTGCACACAACACCGCCGCGCCGCGCTGCTCTCCAGCTGCGGTCCCCGAGGCAGGTCGGGCAGCCGGGTGAACGTGTCTGGAGGGGATGAGGGTGCTGCTTCACACAGGGCGACCGCAAAGGCCCTGCCAGAGCCGCCCTGGCCACTGGCCCCCCGCCCAAAGGCACGAGCCACGGGCGGCCGTGGCCCTGCCTCACCTGCACGCAGGAGCTCACCCCCAAAAAAAGGCCATTGCACTTAATCGGGATAAATACTGAGTATTTGCTACCAGTGTATTTTTTCACCTATGAGAGAAATCTCAAATAACTAAAACCACAACTACTATTGCTGATGCACATAGTATTTCCTGTATAGTTTATTGAAAATTATTTCCAGTTACTTAGTATTTCAGCTAATCTAAACATTACCTCTGGGTACCTGATCATCCCTGGCTGTAACAGAAAAAATGTAGCACAGAGTCAGTGATTCACAAAGCAGCTGAGTAAACAGGGACTTAAATTATACCCACGTTTTCTGACCGGAGCTTTTTAGCTGGACATCCTCCATCTATGGGATGAAGCATATAATAGAGGCGAACTTTGCTGGCATGTTTCCGACTCTGGAGAAAAAAAAAAATAAAAAAAAAAAAGAAAATGTAAGAAATGAAGTTACAAAAGGTAGAGGCTCCATTGCTGTGCATACAACACAGATCTGCAATAAGATTTCACATCCCCTTGATACAAGTATCCAGTATGGGAGGAGAGAAGGGGAAAAGACCCAGGTGAGGAACATTTGCATTTCACAGAGGTTTCACAGAGCTCTCCGCCAGGCTGAAGTAAACTGTGGAATGATTATGACACCTGACATTAGCAGGAGAAACGGTCATCCCTCACCCCTCTCTGTTAAGTCCTGCTGCCTGCACCCCCTTGAAGATACAGCAGGAATAAAGGCAGCAAGAGAAGAGCAACATTTGTTATCAGATCATTTCCATAGCAGAAAAGATTGAAAAGATCAGGGTTGTTTAGCGTCAGGCAGAGGCAGGGTAGCATCATGAGGGATCAGATGCACAAACCAGAATACACAGTTCCTACACTTCCAGGAGGATAAAATGTGTAAGTGGTATAAAACCTCACTCTCTAGGAAATAAGCCCACTGATACCTGCCAAAGGTTTGAAAGAAATTTCTCCTACAGATAAATTATCAGATAATTGCGCATCATGAAATCTAATGCTTTCCTCGTACACAGGGAAGAACAGGGACTATGTGGATCCTGAGCCCCTGTCCCTTCCCCTCTCTCGAGCGTTTCTAAGGAGTATTGAACAGTAAAACCTTCCAGACAACCAGGAAAATGGGAGGGTTTGTGCTCCGGGTTAAGCAGCACTGGTGGGGCAAAGCCCAGGCTCAGCCTGACGTTTGCTGCTGCAGAAACCAGCGCCGGGAGCCCGGGCACCGCTGCGGGGCCGTTCTGCTTCCCCAGCCCTGCCCAGCACCCCCCGCCCCGGGCACAGACCCCAGCGCAGCAAAGAGCCCCCGCCGAGCCGGAGGGCTGGCGTCCCGCCGGCCAGGAACTTCGTGTGCCACCTCCCAGGAACGGCACCGAGTGCGCACGCACTTTTCAAACAGTTTGTACCACAGGGAAGCCCGCAGGGGACCGGTATTTCTGCAGAGGTGTCAGGAAGAGCTGAGGGGTGCCTGGAGGAGACCCTTCCCATGCGGGACACGCTGGCGAGGGCAGGTTTACACCGCCGTTGGGCATGAGCAGAACTTACCAGCTAGTCAGGATAAGGAGAGATGGAGAGATGTGCTGGTCATGCCAGCATCAACAGACAAAGCAAACCTTGTGATTTGCAAAATGTGAAGGAAGATTTAAAAGCTTCTACAGCAGGAGCACTGGTGTAAACCTTCCAAACACTAACCTACAGTCAGCTCTTGTCTTCCAGTAGATGTAAGGGGGGGGTAAAAGACTGCAACTACTACCTACCTGCATCCAAAGCCCAGACATGCATGGCAGCTATTATTATGCAAATGTTTTCCCTGAATCTCCATTTCTGATTGCCTCAGAGAGCAACGGCACCATAATATTATAATTTCAGAGCACAGATTTGGAATTTTAAAATATTAAATCATCATTTGCATGTATGTCATGGTTTGAGCCCCTCCACACACACACACACACAACTCCAACAAAATGTTCTGGAACGTTCTTCCTGTGGTGTGAACTTGGAGCTAAATTTGCAGAGAGCTATATTTGTATGCATAAATGTGACTATGCAATAATTTTTTTTAATGGAGCAAATCAGTCAAGATAAATAATGTCAAATATCCTTCTCTAACTTGTCTTCCTGCATGCATTTAGAAAATGAGACCTGGTGTAGTCAGAGCTAAGCACAGAAAACCCCAAAAGCTTCAGGTATCAGTGATTAGCAGTCCAGACAGCGATGGCATAATTAAGAAATGGCAAAATAAATGTTTGAAATGCAAAGGAGAGATGTGAGAAGTCAGTCTTGGAGTTCAGCAGCGTTTCCGCTCTCTGCCTGAAGGGATGCTGGGCTGGCTCCCCCTCGGGAGGGTTTGCACGCCGGGAAGCCCCTGCCCGGGGGGCTGATCCTGGCCCCTCCACGCAGGGCAGGGGGCAGGACGAGCCGCTGCAGTCCCTCGCACCGCATCAAACGCACTGTACAGGCGACGTGGGCAGAGCCTTCCAGCTGAATTCCTTCACTGGATATTTACGCCCCTTGGAGCAGCCAGCCAGCCTCAAGTCACCCTTCCCACAGCCATGAGGCTCTTCTCTCACGTGAGTTAATCCAGCACTTCGTGATGTCTACTCAAACACAACCGCATCCTGCCGAATTTAAAGGTTAAAATACCTGTGGGGTTTTTGTTGTTTTTTTTTTGTAAGCTGAAAAGGCAAAATTTTAACAGTAATAATTTTTAGTGTCTTTTTCTCATCTGTGCCATAAATGTTGTCCAAATGACAGCATTAAAAGGCAGAGAAACTTCAGCCTTTTGTAGAACACCTCTCACCTTTATTTATGCATTTGTTTGGATTTATGAATGCTAAGGTAAAGAAATAACTTATGTTTGGCATAATTTAAAACTACACGGCTCCTTATGCAGCCTTATTATCCCATGGTTATAAAAGCAGAGCTTAAAATCATCCTTGGCCTTTGCAAGTAGGTAGTGAGCATCTCATTCCCTCTCTGGGAGCGGAGGTAGCACAGCCCATTTGTCACCCATTTTATCTCTGGTATTTTCTACATTTACATGTGTATTTATCATCCTAACACCACAGCAAGAGCAAAGTGATTATTCTTAGCGCGCTGCTCGCAAACAGCCCTGCGGGTTATCTTCCCTCCACAGAGCAACTCGAAAGCTGCCGCTCTGAGGCGCGGGAAGGGCGGGTGCCAGGGCGGGGGTGGCATGGCCCCTTTGCTGAGCCGCTGCCGAGCCCCAGCCAGGCCCTGCCAGCCCGCTCCGAGCCCCGCGTGTTTGATGGAGCTCTGGAGGACGCGGCACCAGGACGGCTGAGAGCAGCGGAGGCACGGCAGCGAGCGCGGCCGGAGCATCCCCGCCTCCCGCCAGCTCCGGTCCCCCCGGGACGGCTGCCCAGGGGCTCTGCTGGCCCCCCCCGTGCCTGCCGGCAACGCTGGCCACGTTACTGCTGATACCCGGGAACGAGGGGCCAGGGAACCACGTGCGGGAGTCAGGGAACAGGCACAAAGTGGGCGCAGGGCACATCCACTCCCATTTTGATCCGTCTCACTGCAGGTACAGAAAAGACAAAACCTTGACAGGGCTGTAAATCCACGGTCTGGAACAAGAACAGTGCCTTTGGAGATACCTGCCTGTTCATCAATAGCCACCACGATCTTATCTTAGCGTGCGCTAAGAGAGTATTTCTGTGCCTGTGAATATTTCTTTTGTAGCTTTACAAAGTGTTAGGCCAAAGGCTTTTTCACTTAAATCCTCTGCCTCTAGTGTCTGGAAACAACTCCTTTAGAAGGCAAGAAGTCAGACTTAATCCTACATGCTTCAGAAACAGCCCTTTCTATGTCAGGAGGGGGGGAAGCTCAGAAAGAGCCTGTTTTCACATAACAACTGCAGACTTCTGCACTGCAAGCTCATGTGCTATTGTAAAAAGGCTCATCAATAGAAGGAAATAAATGGATCATTTCTATCTGTATCAAATCTATTTTAGTACCAAGTATTGTGACAGAGGCAGCAGAGTCCCAGCAATTCAACCCTAAAAGGGCAAAGCAGAGCTAAATTGTGCTGTGAAATGCAATTTGATTTTGCATAAATCAAGTTTTGCAGCACGCCTGTGCCCAGAGCGAGCAGCGGCGTGGCGAGAGGAGACAACGGCACCTCTGTGGGAGCAGCGGCAGCTGGCAGGGCCCTGGGGGCCACGGGCGAGCTGGCTTCAGAGGCTGCAGCCCTGCTCGCCCCGCCTTACAGAGGGTTTATCACCGCCGTGTTAGCAGTTCCTCTGCAAACCTACCAGCAGCAGCAGTGTCCTTGAGGGAGGACTGGGACACGTTTCCCTTTACAAGGCCAGAAGCCCCCCGGAGAGGCTTTAGCCCGGGCTTTGCGGGGCTGGACAGCCCTTCGGAGACCCCTCCATCCCTGCGGGAGCCCTCCCGTCAGCCGAAGCGCGCAGCCTGCGCTGGCCCCGGTATCTGCTCCCACTTTGCGCCGCTGATTTAAGCCGACCTGACAGTCTAGAACATTTCACCGTCTTGCAAGGGACTCTTTCCCATACCGCCAGCCCACCTTGCCAGGTTCAGATCAACCGTTTCTGCTGCTTTCCTCATGCTGCACTTGCAGCTGATCTAATTTCTCTATTCCCCTCAGCTCCCTTTATCATCTGCCTGTTCACTCCTCTGCTGGCAGCATCGTGTTTTCAGTCAGTCTGACTTTCCTCTCTGCGCCCCGTTCTTCAGCCAGAGACCTGAGACCCACCGCACCGGGGGACACGCGCCAAGCACGGGCAGACACACGCAGCGGGGAGATGAAGAAAGGACCTGCAATGGCAGCCCAAATGGCTGTGGCTTCTCTTCGTTCCTAATAAATTCTTTCTCAGAAGCCTGAATCCTGGTTGGATTTTAATCCTTTTAGTTTGTACTGTGTTGATTTTTTTTGTGTGCTGGCAGTTTCTTAATTAAATTGCCATCAAACATGCAGTCATATGATTACACCAACTTTATTATCCGTATTGGCCCTACTTGTAATCTCATCAAAAGAGAGAAAGTTACTTTGGCTAGACCCAGTTCTCTAAACCTCATGCAGAATACCAATTACGCTGTCCTGAAGCTCCGTACTCGAGTCCCCCCCAAGAGCCTGTTTTGCTCAGGAGCCATGCTGAGCTGGGGGGGCTGCGCTGCCCGCACTGGTCCCCCAGCACTGCTGGGCCTGGCTCCACGCTCGCTTTTCTCTTAGAACCTTCCTCCACCTCCCAAGTCCCATGAAGGATCAGCCGTGACAACGCAGAGCACGCGGCCAGCTCTTTTCAAGTACTTGGTTGCAAATTACTGGACCTGCTGACTCAAAAAAACAACATTCTAGATTTCATAATCGCTGCCTACCAAACTTCCAAATTTCTGCTGGAACAGAACCAATTTA